ACAACTAAATCAGGTTCAGTCCATCTCTTCCACCTATAATGATCAAATAATGTTCATTCCATCACTTCCTTTCATGGCAACCATCCAACAGATGTTTGAAGTTTATTTAATCTCTAATGAAATCTCCAGGGGCATAGATTTAACTGCAGTTCTGGATTTTGCAGAAGGTTACTGCGGTCCGGAACCGTCCCCGATTCACGTAAGTCACCTTGGTACACCAGCCACCTCCGCTACCTTAAAGCGCAGGTGCGTGCCGCTGAACACACCTGGTTTAAATTCGAACTTAACAGTCCATTGGCAGATCTGGCTGGACCTTATCAAATCTTATCTCTCCACCCTCGCCTCCTCTAAATCGTTGGCCAGGGACAATCCCAGGCTCCTCTTCTCCATCATCAACCAGCTCCTCTGCCCACACTCTCACCCCTTGCCCATCCTCACCTCCAATGCCAACTGTGAGTCGATGCTGGACTTCCTCAAATCCAAAGTCGAGGGGATCCGCTCAGCTGCCTTCGGTCCTACCGGTTCTATGATTCTATGATATCCTGTGAAGCCCTTCCAGAAGCGAAAGATGCCACGTCAACCGCAAAGGTGATACTTATTCCTATCAAACCTTTCAAACTGGTGTTTGAATCAAGTTCGTCGTGTGAAAGTGAGAAGCTTGTTCTCGCCCATTCTCGGTCTCCGCCAATCGATTGCTGGTGGGGGAAAAAGTTCAGATCTCAGAAATCGATAAGAAATTCGTGTGCCAGAGCCACAGCAGTGACAGTGCAGTGAAGTGCAGAGCCTGACACCAGGTTGGCAGCAGTAGTTCAGGTTGAGCAGAGCAGGGCTGCTCACAAGGCACAGCCACAGAGCAGCCGATGTAGAAGGACAAGCTTGGGGAGTGCTGGTCCATCTCACAGGGAAGGGCACAAGCTGGAGTGTGCTGGTTGCCCAGAGCTCACCACTCACTGACCAGTGGTAAGTCACTTGAGCACCGTTTGTAAGGGCTGTTGTTTGACACCAGGGCACTGATCTGGTGACACAGTGCACGATATGTGCTGTACTCCTGAAGCCTTTTTCTTATACCCTGGGAAAGAAAAACTGAAAGGTTGTTTACCGGCAAAGCAAAGGGACCTTCGAGATTATGAGTTGGAAGTAATCTGTAATCAGGTTGTGGGGAAATAACTTATGTACATATATGTAGATATATATATGTATATATATGACACAATTGGGTTTTGTTGGGGGGACACCGCACTGCTGTAATGCCGTTGTCTGTTCAACGTGAGGATCAAAGCTGCTGTTATGTAAAATGCTGTAGAAAATAGTTACTGTTTAAAAGTGTGTTTTGTTGAAAGAAAACGCGAGGAAATGGTTGATTCGGTGCGACTGACGCAGAGGGGCGAAGTTTCCTTACAAACCATTGCAATGGGGGTGGGGTGGGGGTGGGGGGGTGGGGGGGGGGGGGCTGCTTGGGATGCGGGGAGGACCTGTGGGGACTCAGCAGATAGGCAGAGGGGTCAGGATGCAGTGCTCACTGTGTTCACAGGGTACAGAGGTGTTGTGGAAACGCACTCGGTTGAGCACTCCATCACCTGTCCGTGTGTTTCTGGAGCTTCAACTTTTAAAATATTGCCCTTTGAAAAGAATGCATCGTCTGTCTCAACAATATCTGCGAGATCAGTAAACATTAGGGGAAAATTGCAGCCTAACATCTGGCGAGAAAGCAGAGTAAAATGCTGCAGCCTCTGCTAAAATCTGAGCAACAATAGCAACTTGCACTTATATGCTTCCTCGCTGCTTTAATAATAATAATAATAATAATAATAATCCTTGCATTTGATATAGCGCTTTTCAGGTCGGGAGGACGTCCCAAAGCGCTTCACAGAACACACTGTAAAGTGAATTGACTGTATATTTGTGGGCGAACGCGGCAGCCAATTGCGCACAGTAATGTCCCACAAACAGTCGTAGATTGAAAATGACCAATTTATTATTGTTTTTGGTTTTGGAGGGATTATTATTAGGTGTGTGGAGTAAGGAAACTTGCCCAAGGTTTCACCCTCTGCCTGGAATTGAACTCAGGTCTCTCGCTTGCAAAGCGAGTGCTCTAACCACTGAGCTACAGGACTCCACTTTCTCATATACCAGAGTTGCAATTGCCTTCATTCACAATTCAGCAAATTCTGACCGCCGACTTGGATATGGCTTGATGACCCTGATGGATAAAAGATGCTGTGCTTTTATCATTGTGTGTTACAGAATGGGATTTCTATCTCACTGAACTACTGTATATTTAGGAGTCTAGTGGTTGGAGCACTCGTCTCACAAGCGAAAGACCTGGGTTTGATTCCCAGCAGAGCAAAACCTTGTTTCCTTACTCCACACGCCTGATAATAATCCCTCAAGAAAAAAAACAATAATAATTTGGTCACTTCAATCCACGACTGTTTGTGGGATGCTGCTGTGCATAATTGGCTGCCGCGTTTTGCCCACAAATATACAGTCAATTCACTTTACAGTATATTCTGTGAAGCACTTTGAGACGTCTAGAAGATGTGAAAAGCACTATATCAAATGCAAGGATTATTATTATTATTATTATTTCACCTTTGTTGTGTTAACCTAGTCATCCTACCATGCGCCTATGATTATATAGATGCAAAAAAAAATTATATTCCATATAGTTTATCCCACACTAAACACCATACTCCCATCACACCAATCCTCGCCAGGCTCCACTGGCTCCCTATCACAGAAAAGATCCTTGCAATTGTCTTCAAATCCTTTTACACCCTGGCACTTCCCTATCTTTCTGACCTGTTTTCTCCCCACTTTACTACCTGTTGCCTCCACTCGGCTGGCTCTGGCCTAATGCTTGTCCCTCATCCCCTCCACTCCTTCATCCATGGCTACACTTTCAGGCACTATGCCCTGAGGCTTTGGAACTGTCTCTCCCAATCTCTCTACCTTTCTCCCTCCTTCCTCTCTTTTAGACCATGACTAAAGACCTTCCTCTTCTACCGTGCTTATGGTCACCCCTTCCCTCTCCCAGTTCAGCATCTGGCACCGCCACTGATAAGCACTCCAACACGCTGCTCCACAGGAAGGGCGCTGTATAAATACAAGTTGTTGTTGTTATTGGGGAATGTTTATATCTATTTAATATCCTCACTTTGTATGGTTTGTAGTTCAAAAAGGAATGTGATTGAACATGGTTTTGCTGATAGAAAGCAGTGTGCAGTTTTTAACACTATTACCTATCATTTTTCCTGGTCTTCCTTACAGGAGGATAATTGTTATATTTTATCTTTATTTCTATATTGATGCATGCAAGCTCTACAAAACCTGATGGTCCATTAAGCTCATTATTCGCTGTTACAATTCCCAGTATATATTGTGTTTTGGAGTCCCGCTCCTGAGGCCCTACATCCAATAAGTCTAATTGCCTGATGGAGATGGTGTCTGAGAGTGTGAAATTAAACAGGAGCAGTGCATGCCCACATGCTTATCCAATGCCAGTTGTTGGCTGGACTGATAAATCTATGCTCTAGCTTTGAGAAGCTTCTTCTATCTGTGTGGTTGCAAGCTTTGTTGACCACCCTTATTGCACTTTCGGAGGGCCTCTTGCACACAGGCTGTGATGAGCTACAGGTTTTCTTACTTGCTTGATGGTACTTTGTCCCTGGAATATCCCAATGTAAAAAAAATGTTAGCTGTGATTAACCCTTCCATCATTTGTCCATCAGAATTTCAATATTATTATCAAAAAGCAAAATAGAAGCACTTTGGGATAATTTAGATGCAGAGATCGATTGCCTGTCAGACATGTTACCCTGGATGAGCTCTAATTGTCTGCAGCTCAATATTGACAAGACTGACACTTCTGTCAGCACTTCCTCACATCAGGTGCTGACCAGGCATGGTTACTCACTCCACTTCACAGAGCAGTGTAAAAATTCAGTGTCTTGTCCTAAAAAAAGCAAGTAGGAGGAGCAATGGCAAGCTATGAAGTTTTAATTGGTTGAGGATCCTCAAGTTTTGGCTCTTGCCATTTTGCACCTAATACTCTCCGAATTAGGCAAACAGGATGCATCCAATACACCAATACATGGGAACTTCCATATGTAGGTGGAATGCATGGAACTCTCAGTTTGGTTTGAATGTTCTTAAACATGGTGATGAATTTTCGCATGTGTAAGACATCCGACTGTCCAAAAATAAAATGTAGAACTGGTTTCAAAATGAACAATTGTGTCTAACAATTTGACAAATTCTGAAATGTTATGTTAACAGAGTAAATCTAGATCCAGATAAAATATTCCCCCTCTCTTATCTTCACTTTATTTCCAAATTCCTTAATATTTTTTACTTTGGAAGTTTCTATCTGTTTGCTTTTAAACATCTACTGATTTTGCATATAGGCCTTCTATGGCAGTCCACATTCTCATGAAGAAAAGACTTCTATTCTCACGTCCAACGAGCTTAGCTGAGATCTTTTAGCTCTACCATGTCACTTGTTTTAGATCACTTTATAAGAGTGAAAAGTTATCTCAAATAATTGGTCAAATTCCTGTTTTAGAAGATTTAATGTCCTGTTGAACTTATTTTGAAATGTCTAAACCAGCACTACCACAGACTGCATCATGATAGATCAAGATAAATATAGTGTAGTGTGAGAGAACACATTTGTATAACAGTCTGAAGCCCTTATAGTGTTATGGCTGATAAGCATATCAGTTTCTTTCTGGATCTGATCAAAAGAGAGTCAAATGGAAAAGAAGGTGCAGGCGAAAGAATCCTGGAGGTCTTCAAATCAAAGATTTGGTGCTCACGAGAATTTAAATAGATTATTATCAGTAGATGAATAATTTGATTTGTTAATACACCACACCATGTTTTACAAAGTGTGTTTCCTAAATGAATCATTCTGGGAGTGCAAATCTCTGACTTTGCTTTGGACATTTGATTACTTTTACAAAACAATATTTAATTTTATTATTATCTACAGGTCCAAAATGTCTGAAAATAACCCTGTTGTAAACAAGACCACTCACCATCCAGGGTTTAACAATGATTACACCTGGGGCTATGAATACTATGATTATGGACCTGTTTCGTTTGAAGGACTGAAGGCACACAGATGTAAGTTATTATTATAGAGGACATTAACCTATCATCAATACAGTAATGGTTAACAACAGTGAGATTATAACAACTGATATTCAGGGAAATTGTGATATAATCTCATTGCACTCTTCTTTCCATACAGTTATTAGTTGCAAATTTCTACTGATAGAAAAATCAAAAGAACAGGGATTGACAATTACTCACTTACTTTGCTTTTTCAGCCAACTATAACTCAGTGTTGTTCACAACCAAGATTTCTGAAAACATATGGAAAAATCTTAAAATCCAATTTAGAAAAATATAATTCCAGTTCAACAGCAACTCGCATTTATATAGCGGCCTACACACGAGGTAGCATCCTGTTCAAGTTCAACCAGATCAGTCATGTCTTTTTTTAAATATAACCACTTAGCAATAGATTATTGGCCTCATTGAAGCCTTTTTTTTATATAAAGATCAATTAGACAAGAGTTGGACAAAATCAGGTATAAAATATAATGCTCAAATTGATTGTATTACAACCTCCAAGTTAGTATCTCATGATGTTAATAATAATAATAATAATAATTCTTGCATTTGGTACAGTGGCCTTCATGTCAAACACCTCAATGGGCTTCACATTATATACTGAAAAGTGTAGTGACTGTTTTTGTGGGCAAATGTGACAGCCAATTAGCACATAATAATAATAATGATAATGATAATGATAATCCTTGCATTTTCACGTCGGGAGGACGTCCGAAAGCGCTTCACAGAACACACTGAATTGACTGTATATTTGTGGGCGAACGCAGCAGCCAATTGCGCGCAGCAATGTCCCACAAACAGTCGCAGATTGAAAATGACCAATTTTATTATTGTTTTTGAAGGGATTATTATTAGGTGTGTGGAGTAAGGAAACTTGCCCAAGGTTTCGCCCTGCCTGGAATTGAACTCAGGTCTCTCGCTTGCAAAGCGAGTGCTCTAACCACTGAGCTACAGGACTCCACATAACATTGTCCCACAAACAGCCATGAAATGAATGAACAATTTTATTTGGGGGGTTGTTGGCCAGGTGTTACAAATATTATATTATCTATGGAAAGGTTTCAAATCCTTTAATAAACTTTTTAAATTGGACGCTATCAAGTCTTTTGATCTGTAAAATATTAATCTTTGTCAAGTGCTCCAACTCTTGTAGCGCCAGTCTCAACATCATTCTGATCAGGAAGGTTAGTTAATAAAAGGTGAATGGTTAAAAAACATCTTGCAATTTTAACAGGAGAAGTTTAAGATTTCTATACTGGAAATATTATAAGCACAAGGTCATTTTCAAATGTTTATGTAAGAAGTATGATACATAACAAAACTCAGATTTGTTATACTGACAAAGAGAAGTAAATACTGCAGGTTTCTGCAGTTTCTGCTTTGCAGCACTACAGAGAGAACTCAGAGATGTCAAAAAGGTATCTGGTGTTCACAGTTGCCCTGTGATAAATGCATGTAATATCCTTCAATTACATTCATGCTAAGGCCAACAAGTTAACCCTAGGCAATGCGGATCTGAAACTTTAACTGTTCTGAATTTGACATTTGATTTGTGACGATCAAGAATAAAAATGCTCTGTGGGTTTTAACTGTCACACTTGTGTAGCAGAGGATGCTCACCAAAGACTGGAGTCAAAGCCACTCTCTCAACAATAATCCAACCAGACACAATTATATAGCACTGACCAGATTCATATCCAATTTAAACACGCTCACTACATTCACCAAATGGAAAGTAGGTATACTGTTTGTAATCTGCCTCAGAGCAATTAATCTATCTTTTTCACTGGGACTCACATTACATTCAATTTGCCACACATGCTTTTAAAAGTTCAAATTCTAACAATGTGAAACTGATGTTGTATTTTTCACCCCACTGATTGTACAATTGTTTGAATGGAATTTATTGCTGAAAAAGGGCTTCAGTTTTAAGCGACTCAAAGTGTAATTTTACAGTCATTTTTCAAGTTTTTATGAGCTATTATGAGTTGTTCTCTCTACACGTTTATTTCAGCAAGAACAGTGTTTTATCATTGCTATTACACTAATTTGAGTATATTTACCAAATAGCACCCAATTCACGTGATGGACGTAATCAATGGTCAGTTCTATTACCTAGTTCAGTAAAACTGATTGCTCCTCTTTTTTTTAATGATAGGCATCAAATAGCCTACTCTGAAAGCTGTCAGCCTGGTTCAGTTGGTTGCACTCTTGATTCTGAAACAGAAGGTTGTGATAGATCAAACCATGTCAGGACTTTGAGCTCACGTCTATGCTGACACTCCAGTGCAACACTGGGGGAGCATCGCATTGTCAGTGGTGCCATCCTTCAAATGACACATAAACAGTCTGTTCAGGCAGACATTAAGGATCCCATGGCTCTACTTGAAGAGGGAAGGAAATTTCTCCCTCTGTCCGAGCCAACAATTTCCCAGATAAAATTGGTCAATTACTTCATGGGTGTTTGGAAGATATAGCTAGATGCAAATTTGCTGCAATGTTTGTCTACAAATACACAGTCACTACACTTTACTGTGAAAGTAACTCCTGTGAAGTCCTGAACAATGTGTTAACGTGCTATATCAAATGTAATGATAGTTATTATTATATTATCAATAGAATTTGTCTAAAACAGAAGAACCGGAAATGAAAATGGCAGCAGATGCTGGGAATTTGTTTATCAGTTCTAAACAGTGTAACTTTCCCCATGGATATTACTTACTGAGGTTTATTGATAATGAGATCTGTCACGGTTACCCTACTCTTGCAGGCTTTTGTGATGTGTAAATATTATGTATAATAACTATATAATATTATTTAAGGGAAATGGGGAAGCCTGGCCCCTGAAATGGGGTCTATAAAATCCCAAGTTGTGGAAGCTGCTTGCAGCACAGAATTAGCAACCAGCCTACACACCAGTTTGCATCAAAGTATAGATCCAGGGCTGCTTGATTGACAGTCAGTTAACAAGTAACCTGCAGAGTAAAATAACACTTGGGCGCGAGCGCAGGAATAAACCCTAACATTCACATCATACGGTGGATAGATCCACACCCCTTCTTAAAGCAATGCTTGTCGCTCCTCGTGATCACTAACTAATGGTCACCATCCGATATGTACTGACCTGTACAGGACTACTGTTGGTCAGGGTTGGTTTCATTTTCCTTTAGTAATGTAGTATTGTGTTGCTAGTTGTTATGTGGGAATGTTATGTTTGATCCCATTGTTGTATATTGTCCATTGCTGTGTTCCTTTACATGCAAGGTAGCCCAGGGTTGTTAGGTTTAATAAAGAGCTGTTGTTTCTACCGAATGTTTCCTCAGGTCTCTGTAATATTCTAAACAAGGAAAAGAGTAAGCACTTCGCAGGGTAGTTGTCAACATCGGAGGTCTACTAGCAGACTCCGATTAGACATTCCAGTTACCGGGCATTGGGGTTAATTGGGAATACCTGTCTGTGTGTGACTAGGTTTAGTCACCTTTGAAATAGGGATTCACACCGATGGGGTTAGGAGAGAAGCAGAGGCCACTTAGTACAAAAGCGTCAATAAAATTTGCACATACATCATGAGTGAGAACCATTGCAGATCCTATCCACTAAATGCTAGTACATTCCCAGAGAGAAAAGCAATGACTTGGAAGATTGTTGTGAAATTGTGGTTTCTAACAGAATTTCTTGGACTGAGCACTGCAGTGCAATACAGTATTTCTGTTTGAACAGTTAGCTGCTATTTATTAAAAAGCTCCTTCTCCTGTGGAATATAATCACTGGCTCTGGAGTGACATTTGCAATTCCTCCAAGACATAGGCTGCTCTAACAATGTGAGGTGTCCAAAGAACAAAGAACTTAGGTCTGGGCACTACACATTTACAGATGATGAAAAAAGTCAATGTTTTTATATAAATAGCCACATTCATTCATAAACCTCTTAAAGCCAGTATCAGGGAAGTACTTACTTGCAGTTAAGGAGCACAAAGTCAGCAATTTTTTATATTTATAGGCAACTGTGGGTATATAAAGAATTCTGAACAGAGTTCCTCTTTGGTGAATGTGATCTCAAATAATAATCCTTAGTATTGGTATAGCTTTCACATTAGGAGGACATCTCAAAGCACATTACAGGATTTACTACGAAGTGCAGTGATAGTGCAGATTCTGAAGGCAAACACCGCAGGCCATTTGTGCACAGCAATAATAATAAATATATTAATAATCCTTGTATTTGATATAGCCCCTTATCACGTCTTCGAGACGTCTCAAAGCATTTCACAGAATATATTGTAAAGTGAATTGACTGTATATTTTGTGGGTGAAACGTGGCAGCCAATCGTGCACAGCAATGTTTCACAAATAGCCATGGATTGAGTGACCAAATTATTATTTTTATTTATTTATTTTTGAAAGGATTATTGCCCCTGGAAAAACGATCTGCCAATCGACTAACAACCAGGTTCCTATTTACTGCTAGGTAAACAGAGGCATGTGGAGTAAGGAAACTTGCCCAAGGTTTCACCCTGCCCTGGAATCGAACCCAGGTCCTCTCGTTTGCGAAGCAAGTGCTCTAACACTGAGTTCCAGGAATCCACATGATTTGGATGCAGACTTGAATCCTGCTTCATTTAACTATTGATCTTGACTGTACCTTGTGGTAGTTGTACCTTGCAATAGATCACATAAATGTTTTGCAAAGTCACAAAAAATATAAAATGGGTACATGTGTGCTTTTAATGTACGTATTTATACATTTATATACAGCAGGATACTTGTGTGCATGCCTACACAAAACAATGCACACATTTAGTTGAAACTGTTATAATATGTGATACGTAATGTCTCACAAACAACCATGATGTGAATGGATAATTTTTTGAATCAGTTTGTTTTTAAAATAAGTTAATAAGCTGTGAGGAAAGTACCTGTAGAATAATTGTTAGAAGTTATGAGATTACCAGCTAATTGAATCATTTGATTACTGGTCATGGAAGAGTCATGTGGTAGCTCATAAATAATACAAGCAGAGGGAATAACTGACTCCTGCACAGATTACAAACACAACAATGAGCTGTCTAATAGTGTCAGCGATTTGCATTGAATGTGATTAATATTAACTTGAAGCCCAAAATGAATGGAGTGTCTCATTCACAACCATCTACTGTTACTTAGAATTTGGTGTCTAAGGTGCTAAGATACTTTGGCAATGTTCACACTGAAGAAGAGAAGGTTAATCATATTTTATGTAGTTAAACTCAAAAGAGGGAAGGCATACAACTGTAATTATTTTAAGAATAATAAATATCTGGAATGAGCTATCTAAGGAGGTGGTGAAAGCAGATTTTGGCAACAAATTCAGAAGAAAATCACATAGCTCCTTGGCATACAGACTTTCCAGTCCTGTATATTCTCATAATCCTACCATTAGGAGGAAAAGGTTTGAGCTCCTTATCTTGAGCCCTTTTTAACTACTAAAACTGTGACAATCAACTGCTGCAATCCACAGAATAGTTTGAAATCAACCAAAACCAATGGGCAGCAGTGGAATATTTCTCTTCTCTCTGGGAAAGATTGCATGATCTTTGGACAGCAGAATCTCAAGTGCCTTAAGATTTGATTTGACTGCATCATTATTATCAATGCTACAATGATTGTTGCTGTAAGTGTGAGGGTTCACCTAGTATGGGTAAATGGGACCTTAGTCTGGAGGCAGCTTCTCCCCCATTGCCTTTTTAAAGCAATTTCAGTGCAATTGGAATATCCCCTGAGTTCTTCATATGGCTAGATACACATGCCATGAAATTTTTTGAAAGTTACCTAGAAATTCCTGAGATAGGGCAAATAAACTTACTTTTGAAAACAGTACAAGAAAAAAGTGTTTTCTCACATTGAAACAAATCATAGCACTTCACAAGTCATGTAGTGGGGAATTTTGTTAACAAACTCTATATTGGTCTGCACCTACAAAATGCATAGTTTGCGCCAACAAAATACATAGTCACCACACTTAACAGTAAATCTCGTGGAGCACTTTAATCATCTCCCTGATGTAAAAAGTGCTATATCATATGCAAGGATTAAAATTATTAATAAGGCTCCACAAACAGCCAGGAGCTGTTGAAGAAGTTAAAAGCTACAAGGTTTCTGTTCTGGAACAAATGTGCCATTTGAGTGAGTAATTCTGCTTTGTAGATTGCATTTTGATTGAAATAACTTAAAAGTCCCATTCTGTTTTTCAGACTCCATTGTGATTGGATTTTGGGTTGGTCTGGTAGTCTTTGTCATTTTCATGTTTTTCGTGTTGACTTTACTGACAAAGACGGGAGCACCTCATCAAGAGTACGTTGTTTCTCCCTATTTTATAACTTTGTATTATGCAGATTTTTGTTTGAAAATAAGTTGACATATTTGTTTAATAATAAGTACGGTATATTGACTGACGAGCAGGTAATTACAGGACAACCTTGTGGTATTGTGTTCCTCTGGGTTCAATATCTCAGCAACGTTTTCCAAGCAAAGTGCACGAAAACTGCTGACTTCTGGGTTGTCAGTTTTACATTCATATTTTTCCTGCACACTGCAATAGTATAAAAAACCTCACTGCTGCCCTTGTTTCACAAAGTGATGCCTGAGGTGCTTCCTACGCATATCTTTCAAAAAAGAATAGGATATTCACTTGAAAAGAAAAATATTGCATGTCTATGGGGAAAGAGCAGAGGAATGAAACTAATTGAATAGCTCTTTCAAAGAGCCAGCACTGGCACAAAGTGCCGAATGACCTCTCTCTATGCTATAGGATTCTATGATATCATGCCTGCATGCACGATTGATGTCAGTGGTGACCTGACAACTGAGAAGTCAGCCATATTTTAGTGCAGGAAAACGTGCATTTGCCGTGTGCCTTTCTGTAAAGATTTTTATGAAGAATTTGATTTTTTTTGTTCTTTGGTACTGTATTATACACAAGACCTCAGATAACTTAAGTAAAGAAACCCTAAGCATTTCTCCCTTTCTTTGCATGTAACATCTATTAACCAAAATAATAGAATTCCTCTCGGATATCTTCAGTCTCTATATTTGATATAAACAGGGAATGTTTGTTTTTCAATGCTCTACTTATTGAAGAATTAACATGTGTAAATCTGCTTTGGTTATTATAGCCCTCTAGTAACCATGCCAACTAATGGATATACTGTCTGAAAGCACAGCCCTGTTCCTCATCATAAGTGACCATATTTTCCAAGCCTCATATGTAGGGTTAAAATAAATTCAGATTCTATATTTAAAATATACTTATAATATTCTCAATTTGCTTGTAAGGATGAAAGGTGGAAGCCCGTAATAATGGGCTTTGTTATAATGCTGGATTGCTTACAGATGCAGTGTGTCAATCCTGTAATTTACTTATCAAAATATGCAAAACGATGCTTGTGAACTGCAATGGCGCTTCGTACGCTGGCCGGCACACAGGAGGTCAAAGTGGCTGAATTCTTGGCTCTCAGCTCACTGCTGACCTCGTTTCCTGGTCCTGCATGCCGACTGGCATTTTGAAACACTGATGAAATACATCAACCTTCTACTTGTATTTGCAGTGAATGCAGAAGTGCTGCCCGGCGATCACCTTCTGTTGGAATGCTGGTTGGGATTTCATAGACCCCAACTACTATGTTATAATGGGGCTTTACCATAAGCAATGACCTAGTGTACAATGGTAAATTAAAATGTGTTTCACTGATTTTGTGCCATCCAAGAAAGATCAGTCTTAAAACCCAGTGAAAAGAATAAGCTTCAACTAGAAACATTTAAACTGCGCTATTTTATTCTGGCAATACTTGACTCACAAATTTTGTGAATGTTTTTCTTACATATACTCAATGTAGGAAATTATTCCAGGATCTATCATCTGGGGAATGTTGCTCACTGTGTTTGTAGTGCGATTTTAATTAGCATGACAAAAAGAGGTTTCAAGGCAATTATAAAGGAATTGTCAGCTGCCTATAAAACTGTTGGAATTTGTGTGGGATAATCATATTATTACATTATAGGAAAAAGAATATCCTCTAACCCTTTATTAACTTTATTTGTTAACCCTTAATAAATGTAATGGATTTAAATATAAACAGTTGTTAACGTTTTATCTTCTTTGTGTTGGTGCAGGATGCAGACCAGGAATCAATTCTTGTTAATTTTAGATGTCAGCCTTATTCAGTTGCCAGCACTCTCACCTCTGAATTTGAAGATTGTGGGTTTAAGCCCCACAATGGGACTTTGAACTCATAGTCCAGGATGACACTCCAGTGCAGTGCTGGGGGTGTACTGCGTTGTGGGAGATGCCATGTTTCATATGAGATGTTAAACTGAAGTCCCATTTGCATTTTCGGGTGGACATTAAAGATCCCGTTTCAATATTTGAAAAGGGAACAGTTTTTCCTGGTGTCTTGACCCAAAGCCCCCAGATAAAATTGGTCAATTACTTCATGGCTATGTTTGAAACATTGCTGTGCACAAATTGGCTGCCAAGTTTGCTTAAAAATACACAGTCACTACACTTAACAGTAAATCCAGCACTTTGAGATATCTTGATGACATGATAAGGTAGGATAGCAAATGAAACAATTATTATCATGAATCTGAACATTGGCTCAGTTCAGAAGTTTTGAATGGGATGGGTTCAGTGAACTACTTAATGCACTTTGCTGCATGTTTGCTGTAAACCATATTAATTTAAAGAGGTTAAGGAAGTTAAGAGATTAAGAAAGTTAAGCATGAAACCACATGAGAAGCACTGCCTGATCTTCTATCCATTTAAATGGTAGCCTTCTGTGCTGAAAATGTATATGGTTCAATTGTTCTATCATATTTCAATTCCTCCATAACTTTAAGAAATTGAAGTAATTTTTAGTTAAGTTGAATCTGTGCTTTGATCCAGATTTTGAAAATTCATCCATCCTAAATGTGTGACGTTTCTTTTTTTATAGCAGAAACGTGGATCTTCCTGCTAAGCAACATAGGATGAATGGCTTTTCTGTGGGTTATCCCATGCTACAGAAACCAGACAAAGCTTTCGTCCATCGAGTGAGCGAAGAATCTCGGTCCCTCTTTCATTGCTATGTAAATGAGGTTGGACACTTTGAGAGGCAACAATCAGGAAGCAGGATATCTGGACCAAAGAATGAAGACTTGGTCACACATGAAAAAGAAGGGGAAAGTGACATCCTTGTGGAGCCATGGAACTGTCTGGCCAAATTTGATATCCCGAACTTTGTAAACTCAGATCAAAGCTCCTCACTGGCTGAAGATGATCTGCTGATGTGCGACCAGCCAATTGTTCTTGAAAATAAACCCATTAGTGCCCACAACATCCATCAGAATTCTGACTAATCCTCCAGGATTAGTGTTGTTATACTCACAGATGGGAATTACTTCACCCAAACAATTTCACAACAGGTTGCCTTTATATTCCAGTTTAGCAGCTCACATAATCCATGTAGACAATCTGAATATCAATTATAACCATTGCTGGACAAATCAAACAAGGTACAGCACATTCCATCTATAATACAGCCTTATAAAACGAATAATTGAAGGGCATGGTGTGAACAGAACATTCTGTCTGTTTTCTCTGCTAATGGGGAACTGTGAAGACTGTGCAAAAACACAGAAGCATTAGTGAGTAATGCAGTGAGGAGTTCTTGTTTATACAAAGCTTCATTGTAACTTGCACTTCAAAGCATGTGCCTCAAAATCATATCACAGTTTTAAATGTCAGGGTTGCTCAAGAGTGTCCTGTATTGATTAGTAGAAACATAGATATGTTATATGCACATACGTTGAATGGGACTATTTTAATTTAAGTATAAGGGCGGAGGTTGTTCTGGAGAGGAATTCTAGAAATTCACAGAGGAGAACAGAAAAAAAATTACGAGATCATCTCAGCTCAAAATACAGCACTCTGCGCAACTGACTTCCAGAGACTGATTGGGTTTTAGCTCTATGATCCAACTGTAAGGTTGAAATATATATTTTTAAAATGTCAAAAACACAGATTAGAATGTACTACTACTGCATTCATTCTAAATGATATTGAAACAAAGGTGAAGATTTTCCTCCTGTCAGGTACTATGGCTTTCGGTTATATTGCTTTTTGAGTTTGATGATGAATTTCACACAAAATCAAACTTCAGTTTGTAACTCTGTATAATTACTGAATAAGACACTATTTTCCTCTGAGCAGGTTGGTGGTTCCAGTAAAGTTAAGACATCCCTTTTGGTTCCAACCCCCAGCTCAGGTACCCAGCCAGCAATATCAAGCACTTTGAGACATCTTCATGATGTGAAAGGTGCTATATACATGTTAATTGGGTTGTATTGCATGTTAAAGCATTCTGATAGAATAGAATAGAATAAAGCTCTAATAAATAGTAATAATATGTCTTCTAGACATCTCAAAGCGCTTCACAGAATATACTGTAAGGGGATTGACTGTATATTTGTTGGTGAAAAGTGGCAACCAATTGCGCACAGCAGTGTCCCACAAAGAGTCGTGGATTGAAGTGACCAATTTATTATTTTTTTTTCTTGAGGGATTATTATCAGGCATGTGGAGTAAGGAAACTTGCCCAAGGTTTCATCCCGCAGGGAACTGAACCCACATCTCTCAATTGTGAGGCAAGTGCTCCAACACTGAGCTACAGGACTCCGTCCCTGAGCTACAGGTATCCTTACAATATCAAATTACTACATAAGTTTACACTTTTATTTTAAAGAATCCCACATGTGGGTTCAAGCCAAATTAACCAAATGGTATATTGTTAAAGAAAATTGTTATTTTACTTAATTGCTGTTCGTGGGTGTTGTATTTCTGCATGCAAATGGCTACCGGGTTTGCCTACAAATACAGTCACTACATTTTACAGGAATTTTCCTGATGTTCTAGGCACTATATCGAATGATAGGATTATTATTGTGTGAACTATAGACCTATGTTTCTGACATAAAATAATGTGGAACATTCCCTCTTAAATTGAGCCACTGTGAAGTGAATTGACTGTATATTTTTTGGACAAAACTTGGCAGCCAATTGCACACAGCAGCGTCTCACCAACAGTTGTGGATTGAGTGACCAAATTATTTATTTTTATTATTTATATATTTTTTGAAGGGATTATTAGACCGGGAAAAGTGATCTGCCAATTGACTAACTACTGGGTTCCTACTTACTGCTAGGTGTGTGGAGTAAAGAAACATGCCTAAGGTTTCGTCCTGCCCGGGAATCGAACCAAGGTCCTCTCGCTTGCGACGCGAAAGGCGCAATATTAGATGCAAAGATTATTTATTCTTTTAAATCTCTCCCCCTGACCGTCTGTTTACCTGATAATGTAACGGACTCTGACTGCCGAACTAAAACCTATGTCGAGTTCAGCACTGCTGAGTCTTTCAGTGTTCTGTTAGTAAACATTAGTGCAGGATCAGTGCTTTGGAACGTCCTCCTGAGGTGAAAGGCGTTATACAAATGTAATTTGTTGTTGTTATTGTTGTGAGCGCTCTAACCACAAAGCTACAAGACTCCACTTGAAACAAAGCTACAACTGGTTGACTAATGGCATCTGAGAGTCAAAACTGAAGCTCTCATGATATAAGCACAATACGGTAATAAGATCTTAAAGAGAAACATTGATCTCAAATGCCGAATATGTCATCAGGCCCAGTAACAGTTGACCACATATTGTCATCATGTCCAGCTGTAGCTCAATCAGAGTATCCGATTCAACATAACAATGTAGTTAAATATATGCACTGGATAATTTGCAAACACTTTGATATTGATATAAAGATCAACTGGTATGAAAATCAACCAGCAAAAATGACATAGAAAAATAACATCCCATAATCTGGGAGTCACAAGTATATTCAGATAGAACAGTAATCTAACAAGATGGATATTATCATAAACAAATACAAACAAATAGATTTGGAGTGTATATATAGTATTATTGATATGGCTATCCCAAGTGACTACAACGTAAGAAATAAGGAACTGGAGAAGATCAGGAAATATACCAATCCCTGTTTGTGCTTTCACTCATTTCCCTGCTCCTCATATCCCCGCCTCCACCCACCCCCTCAACTTGGGCTCCCGGTCAGTTAGCTGTGAAGCCCTTTGTAACACATTCCTGACTTGAAAAGTTCTATTGAAATGTGAATTGTTGTCATTGAATGTGCTAGTGTTTCTGAAATAAAATGTCATAATTTTCCCTCTAACATATTATCTGTTTTCTGAATCAGACACCTACACACCCCCATTGCACCATTCATGATTTAGTGATATTTCTTTCCTCAGTGTCATCTCACTCGATCCCTTATCCTGAGTGATGGAAGCCTCAGCATTCTAAATACACAAAAAAACAGATGGGATTTGATGAAAGTAACATCAAATAAATTCGTATCCGGGTAGTGTTGGTGTTTCATTGGGCAGATACAGACCTGTGTCAAATGCTGAAAATCCATCCAGTTGCATGCCCTGTGGTTCTGTTAAAAATTTGACTTTCAAATAGCTATGGCTCCTGCTGCTCAGTGGTCCCCAGTGTTTTCAGATACATTTAGAATGCAGATAGCAGTGAGGATGTTACAAGATAGGAATACAATCAAGCACCAGGGGATGCAGATAATATCGAGCTTTAGTCATTTGTGCAAGGCACCACAGCTCTGAAATTGTTTTTTAACTGTTATTTTTGCCCTCACTTTGGCCTTAATACTTTCAAATGACACAAGACAGCAGAACAAGATGGTACAATTTATTTTAGAGTTGCAAAGGGTAATTTAGACAGACATCAGGTCCAAATACCTGACTGTCCAGCGCCTTGGGACGCCCTCTCAACATGAAAGGCGTTATACAAATGTAATTTTGTATTGTATTTCTTTACACACAGAATAATTAAGGGCTGGAATGTGTTGTCTAGAAGAGTGATTGAGGCAGGACACTCGATTCATTTTAAAATAAACTTGATATTGTGATCGGAAGCCAGTACGGTGGATATTCTGAAAGAATCAGATCAAATGGCCTTCTTCATCCAAACCAATCTTGTAATCTTATATTTTAAAACAAATACAGGAATAAGAGCTTTGATTTGCAGAAGTTCAAGGTGCTTTGCAATAGTAAGAGCAGCTTTATTTATTAGAGTTGTAAAATGCCAATCTCTAACTCAGACAAATGTTGTCAACTTGGCTCAGTTCTGAGTCAGAAAGTTGTTCTCAGTATGGTTTGGATACTCCTAAGCATGGTGATGGGTTTCTGCATGTGTCAGACAACCTGCTGATCAAAATAAAGTCAGAAAAATTGGGGTTCACCTGGCTCAGTTGGTGACAATCTTCCTTGGAATCAGAAAGCTGCTGGTCCAAACCTCACATTTTGACTTTATGCTCATAGACTAGGCTGACGCTCCAAAGGAGATAGCCATCCTTTGGATGAAACTTTAAACTGGGCCCGTCTGCCAGTTCAGGTGGGTTTTAAAGATTGCATTACTATTTGAAAAGAGAGGGATCCTGGTATCCTGGCCAACAGATAAAATTGGTCATTCACTTCATAGTGATTTTTGGGATATTGCGTTTTTCAAATTGGCTGCATCATTTGTCCACAAATTACAGGAAATCCTGTGAAGCTCTTTGAGATAAGGCATTATCAAGAAAGATAATTTGCTCATTTATTCATGTATATTTTATAACACAAACATAAAAAAACATTTGTAAACCATCTACGAATTACATACATAGTACATATACAAAGGCATTTGAAATTTAACAACATCTTTTATGCTACATTTATATTTCTGAATGTGAATGTCTGCTACTGGCAGGAAAATGGTGTGAAACGGAAGCCCAATTGAGTCCTGTACCTCAGTGGTTAGAGCACTCGCTTTGCAAGCGGGAGACCTGAGTTCAATTCCAGGCAGTGCGAAACCTTGGGCACGTTTCCTTACTCCACACGCCTAATAATAATCCCTCTAAAACCCAAACCAATAATGAATTGGTCATTTTCAATCTACGACTGTTTGTGGGACATTGCTGTGCGCAATTGGCTGTCGTGTTCGCCCACAAACATATAGTCAATTCACTTTATAGTGTGTTCAGTGAAGCGCTTTGGGACGTCCTCCCGACGTGAAAAGCGCTATATCAAATGCAAGGATTATTATTATTATATTTCCTGATCTACATCACATTGAATTAGGTCTAAAAAAAATTCCAAGCACCTAAACTTGGAATTCAGTTTTTATGAACCTTATTAAAGAGTGAGTACACAATCTGATTAAAGTTCATAGGCTCTCCCGAGATCTTCAAATGCAGCAGAGGGAGCAAGGCCAGGGCAATTCACGCAATGAGTTGTGTTTATGCGGTGCTGGTACATAATTTCTGCATGATTCATCCTGCCTGAGCTCCTCATTTATACTGCAATTTATACACAACCCAAACACAATACAATACACTCACCTCTAAAAACAAGACATTTCATAGAAACGATTTAAGATTTGTATGTCAAAACAGCCATTTACAGATTTGGTTTTACAAAGAGAATAATAAATATACCTGAGTTACATACAAGGTTACAACATAGTTGAGGGGACGCTTTGAAGTCAAATTACTGGAGCAAAGCTGAAACAGTTAGAAATGTCATTTAGACTTTTATTGCCTGAAACTCATTCTCTATATACACTCTACATAGTTTTGTTTAAAGCTGTGTTAGCACAGCTGTTGCTGCAATCCATGTGCTGTCATGATCAAATGCAATGGGTCATCACATAAAACATTTGACTGAGGTTTATTGCAGTGTTGTTTCGCAATTCACTGTACTCTGTGTGTTTCATTAAGTTCTACAACAGAAAGCAAATCAAATGTCCTGTATCAAATAAGCCCCTCTTAACAGGTTTAGTCAATGTGCAGTCATAAAGGTTTTTTAAAGATCAGTTAAAGTTCTAACATTGTTTTTTCAAAATGTTTAGCAATCACATCTGAAAAAAGAAACAAACCATTTATGATCAAATGCTGCCACATCCAATATTTTTGGTTGTACATCTCAGTCACACTTTCCTCTATGTAACATAATAAGCTGTTTGCACAATATTACAATTGCCTGGGAAATGTTGAGAGGTTAGTTCTTGTGGAACTGGGAGCTGGAATAACAACACCTTGTCTCTGAAGCTCACGAAGAACATCCAGTATGGAGTCCAATTCTGCTCGGAAATTTTCTAGTTCTTGATTTTTAAGCTGTGCAAGCTTCTTCCATTTTTCTACCTCTTGAAGTTGTTCAGTGTCAGCATTGAGTCGAGCTTGCTGAATTATCTGTTAAGATATTACACAAAGGAAGTAGTTAACCAAAGTCACCACATGTTGAAACCACTTATTTGTCGCAATTAGCAGACTCAGAAAAGTTAATTGTTTCAATAGCATTAAATGAAGGCTTAAACCATTGAAGCAATGAAATTTTTACTGACGTAAAAGACCAGAAACTGTAAGGAAATACAGGAAAATCACACATCTACTCAGCCTTCTTTTATCAGCTCATGTAGGGGTAAGGTTTAATTTTGACGCTTGTGAATATTTATGAAGAATTCCACTACCTTTAATAGCAGTGAAAGATACGACTGATGTTATGAATGAATATAGACTTCAACCAGTAAAAAAAATTTTACTCAAATGTTTGTACACATGACCACTGCAATAATGACTCTGTCTGGCACACCAGAGTTTGAATAGCCATTCACATCTCAAGTTAGATCATTAATTTTGTTTCTTCAACAAATGATACATTGTTAGATGTGGTTGAAAAATAGAAAGCTATTATTTTATTAATAAACCAACATGAATTTAGTTTATGGAGAAAGACAATGTCAAACTGGCTTCTGTAATTACTCCTCTCTGCTGCATTTGTACTTAGTTTCCATAAGGGGATGGTACGGTACCTCCTGGAACTCTTGTTCTCTCTGGGCGTGCTTGAGTTCCATCTTCTTAATTTTTCTCTCCAAGGCCACGAAGTGCCTCATCTCTGGGGTATGACTCTCTTTGGCTTCTCTGAGTTCTACCAGGAGCTTAGTCACCTATGAAATTAAATTAGAAATATTCAGTATTGCGTTACATTTGGAAATATCCGATTAATAAAAAAAAGTACACCATAGTGCATTATTAGGCACTGGCTTGAGTCCTGGTACAGCAAACGTTAAGAGTAGGTTTGATCAGTTTCATGCACAAGTTGAAGGCTCCACCTGCACACTTCATAAAATCAATAGTCAAGAAGTTGAACAAGGTCACCGAAGAAAATTATTCACAAATGGAACAGGTGAGATTGAATTTAATTCACATTTACCAAAAATATAAGGATCATTTCTGAAACATCTAAACATTTGCCGTTTTCACTCTTTCCATATAAAAGTTTAAATTCTTCTTCACGATTCATCTTTGTGTCAAATTATTTGCATAATAGCTTTCCCCTTTTTTTTCGCCATGTAACTTTAAAAACTTAGGATACATCTAACCAAGGATGAAAACAAAAGGACGCTTAAAGTTTGTAATTCTAATTACCTGCGTCTGCAAGCTTTCTTCTCGATGTCTTGAAACAGAAAGAGCCTCCCGGTCTTGCTGGAGCTCATTAACCTGCTCTCGAAGGTGCTTGAGCATAACCTGTAATTAAAGTGATGATGAGTAGAGATGCATTCTCATGTGTTTTCATGGAAGGGAGAAAGTTTCGGAGTGATCCACTGAGAAACCTTCATCGGCTCAGGTTTAAAATCACTGAAATAGAAACAGGTGCTACATTTTGTTTAATATAATTCATTAATTTTATCAGGGGAAAAAAAGAGTTTGTTTTCATCCAATTTGCATTTTTATTAGACACCACATTAAGTGCTACTGGAATGTGTGCGTCATCCAATTGAAGTGGAGTAAATATATAAAGAAATATTATAGTTAAAAGCAAAAAATTAAAAAGCAAAACAATCACATGTTAGCACTCAGAATTTTACTAAGGTATACACAAAACTCTGCCTTTATCCAAAACCTGGTCTTTGGGGGACCTGTGACAAAGCTCAGAGTCTAGGACATCACCAAAGTCAAAGAGTTTGAGAGGGGGCAGTAATAATAATAATTCTTGCACAATGCTTGGCAATAGTGGCCAAGTGATACCAAACATGAATATTAACTTGTGGATCGCAGCAAGAAGGTAAGACTGAAAGGGCTAAGGAGCCACTGTCTTGAGGTCCTGCTAAAGCTAAGAATAGGTGAAAGTTTGATCAGTTTTAATAGTCAGGATTGTAAGGAAGAGAATATTTTTATTAATAATTAATAATGGTCATTATGAAATAAAAAATGAAACTTCTAACAATAGACAAGAAATATTGATAATCAAAAATTAAATAGTTACAATAAGATTGAAATCATTTCAAATAATAATACTTGCATTTGTTATAGTGCCTTATTACGTCGCTGAGACGTCTCAAAGCACTTCACAGGATATACTGTAGTGTATTGACTGTGTATTTGTAGTCAAACAGGGCAGTTAATCCTTGTACAGTATTGTCCCACAAAACAGCTATGAAATAAATGAGTATCTTAGATGCATATTGCTTGTACCTCTTGGGTGGAGATTTTATTTAACATTTCAGCCACTTTGGTGGATGAGTGTTCCAATGCATGTTGAGTCAATATCCTTTCCAGTTCTCGTTGATGAGATGCTTTTAAGGCTGCAACATGTTCAGAAGCACTTTCCCGTGTTCTGCAAGATGGTGAAAGTGTTGCTTCCTATAAATGGCTCATATAATCATGCAACAATAAACGAAGAACAATACACTCTGTATTCAACCCAAAACTTTCTAATCTATTTCCATTCAGAAATTTATAGTACAGAAGGAGGCCATTGGGCCCATTGTTTCCATTTAAACCCCCATGTCTTAATTCAGTATTATTATAATCAATTATACCACTGCAGCTTAATTGTCAAAACATAATATTCTCACCATCATGAAGCTCCTCCAAAACTGGCTGCTCCAATATCATATTTGAATTAGCAGCAATGATAATACTAGGTTGTTTTAAATGTTTTGGTGCATTTTTTATCTTCAGTAACAGTCAGAGCCCCCCAAATTCTTACCTTAAAGTTTCAATTTGGGGAAATTTTAAACTTAGACTTAATTCGTAGATAATTTCCACAACCGTTTTCAAAATTATGCCAACAGAATGTTATAGAATATGTGTTACGGCTAAATGATCAGAAAATAAGATGCACAAAATTTGAAATATTGAGATAGTTATAATCGACTCTGAGTTAAATGCAGTTTGTGTTATTGTGGTTATTTGGTGCAAAATACCAACTGTGTGCTGCATTGATCCTTTGTGTAAAGTTCAGCATTGAACAGTAGGGATATACAACTAAGATGAAACTGCATTTGTTATTCATATATTACAGATATATTTATATATATAATATATACCTATATATGGAAGGATTATTATTATTTTTATTATTACATTTGCTGTTAGACCTTGGGAATATGAAAGTCTAAAAGCATATTCACAATGCGTTTCACTAAAACCCTTGGTACCAAAACAACATGATGAATTCAGCACTCGTACTCCTTTATCACATCCAGGCTTGACTGTGCTAAATTTTGGCTGGCTTCCCAACTCTTACATTAACAAGCCACAGATTATACAGAACGCTACATCTTGTGTCCTCCCCCACATCAGGCTCTATGAGTCCATTATCCCCATCCTCACCCGGCTCCACTGGCTTCTTTAACACTGTTTCAATCATGGTTCCTGCCGCTGCAGATAGTGATCCGCGGCTGATTGGGAGAGGGAGGGAGAGGGAGAGAGAGAGAGGGGGGGAGGGAGGAGAGGGAAAGGGAGAGGAGAGGGAGGGGAACAAAGAGGGAGGAGAGGGGGATTGAAAGAGTAGGGGAGAGGGGAAGAGAGAGGGGGAATAATAATAATAATCCTTGCATTTGATATAGCACTTTTCACATCTTCTAGACGTCTCAAAGCGCTTTGCAGAATATACTGTAAAGTGAATTGAATGTATATTTGTGGGCAAAACGGGGCAGCCATTGGCACACAGGAGGGATGGGGGGAGGGAGAGGAGGGATGGAGGAGGGAGAGTGGAGAGAGGGGGAGAGAGATGGGGGAGAGGGGGAGAGCGTGGGGGAGAGAGGAAGAGGGAGAGGGAGGGGGAGTGGGAGGGGGAGAGAGCTGGACAGAGAGGGGGAGATAGAGAGCAGAGATGGAGGGATTGAGAGAGAAGAGATGGGGAGAGAGAGTGATTGAATGAGAGAGAGAGAGAGAGAGACTGTGTGAGAGAGGGGGAGAGAGAGAAGTGGGGGCAGCGTTTCATGATTCACTGTCAGGACAGGTGCTCAGCCTCGGCCACCGGGGGAGGGGTTAAGGCAGACACTGAGAGGCATGCTGTGCAGGTTCCTCACAGAAAGCTCCCTCTTTTACCATTGAAAGATCTTTGTACTTCCTTCATTCCTCCTCCCCCAACCCCAACCCCTATCTCTGCGACCTCCCGACCCTTTGCCCAACAAACACCAGCTTGCTTCATGCCCCCCACACCCCATCTGCCCCACAATCGCCATTTTCCCCTGCTCCCTGGAGTCCCTCTAACTCCCTCCCTCCCTCCTCTCTTTCAAAACACATCAAGTGGAGTCCTGTAGCTCAGTGGTTAGAGCTCTCGCTTTGCAAGCGAGAGACCTGAGTTCAATTCCAGGCAGGGTGAAACATTGGGCAAGTTTCCTTACTCCACACGCCTAATAATAATCCCTTCAAAACAAAAAACAATAAAAATTGGTCATTTTCAATCCACGACTGTTTGTGGGACATTGCTGTGCGCAATTGGCTGCCGCGTTCGCCCACAAATATACAGTCAATTCACTTTACAGTGTGTTCTGTGAAGCGCTTTGGGACGTCCTCCCGACGTGAAAAGCGCTATATCAAATGCAAGGATTATTATTATTAATATTATCAAGACCTAACTGTGACCACACTTTCAGTCATCTTTTCCCCTTCCCATCCCACCTCCCTCGACTCCCACCCCCAGCTCAGGTGCCCAGCCAAGTGTCAAAATGTCCTTCCAACATGAAAAAGGTGCTGTGTAAAAGTTGTGTTTCTGGAAGGGAAACACAAAATATTGCTTACGCAGCCTTCTCAAAGAGGCAGTACGGCCCTCGGCAGTCAAACTGTTGGACCACCCTGACCTAGACAGCTTAAGTTGCAGACAACTTACCCACAGGAGCAGTGGAGAAATAACAGCTCAAATGTGATCCTGTTCTCACCTACCTGACCACGCCCCACTCCCTACACTCCTCTGCCCAAATTACTCCCACCACCTGCTACCTCAATCCCCTCCCCACCCAATCTTTACATACAGTTTGCAGAAGATGTCACCATTAATTTGTAACTTAAAACCTGACTGTTTTTTCTTTGTATTTTAGAGACACTAGCCAAGAGCAGTGCTCACAATGCCATCTTAATTCAGGATGACCTAATTTAGTACGGATCAGGGTATTGATCTAGGATCTGTCTCAGTAGTACACTGCAGGGGCATTCACCCAGAGGGAAACAATAAGCATAATGTTTAATCCAGCAATCACAACTGGATGAGTTGCACAACCCATCTTCAATTGTTTTTTTCCATTGCCAGTTAGTTAATTCCCAAAGCAATCAATATTCTGAATTTGAATGTACCCATTTCAAGAAATAATCGTTTAAAAATCCCATTAAAACCAGGCTTCACCTCCTCACTTCACTCTCAGCCTGTGCTGCAGCAGATTGGAGTTTTGCTCTTTGCTGGTCCATTTCCAAAGAGAACCTTTCCAACTTGCTCTTCAACATTTCATTTTCTTGCAAAACCTCGGATATGTGAGAACCAGCAAAGTCGTTTGGCCGATAAATCTTTTCATCTAACGTTGCTGGAAAAGGTTCTTTGAAGTCAGTTGTAAACTTATTGGATTCTTTATCCTTCTTGGACTTCTTGGCTGACTTTGGCCTGGTTTCACATTTATCACTCAACGTTACTCCATGAAGGAGCATCCTCCTCTCTCGCTGGAGCCGTTCTAAAGTCTTTGAAAGCTCTTGTATTTCTCGGTTTTTAGAAGCCAATTCTAGGTTGAGTTTCTCTATCTTAGCTTGATCATGTATGTGTTGGTCATTTGTTCGAAGAGATTTGTCCTCTCTTTCCATTAACTTCAGCTCTGCATGGTAGAGTTGATTCTTCAACATCTCAATGTCACTCCTGAGACGATTTTCTTTGGACTTGTGGATCTCTTTTAACTTGTGAATTTCTTCTTCTAGTAATTTCATTTTGGGGTCAGGGACACATGGGTTTTCTCTTTCATGGGCCAGTTTTTGGGCTAAAAATTGTTCCAGCTCTGAGATTCTCATTTCATACTGAATCTGGAAAACATAGGCAAACATAACTGTTCAATACTATGCCACAATATATTCTATTCTCCAGTTATGTCATAGGTCCCCTTTGTTTACAACAACAACAACAACAAGATTCCATTTATAAAGCGCCTTTCACGTCAGGAGGACGTCCCAAGGCGCTGCACAGTTGGGTCATGACCCGAGCAGGGGGGAAATGGTCAGGGTGAGGGAAGGGAGGGAGCGAGGAGGGGGAAATGGTCAGGGTGAGGGGAGGGAAGGGAGGGAGCGAGGAGGGGGAAGAGAGTCGAGAGGGGAGCTGAAGGCACGGTCAAAGAGAAAAATTACCATCTGGTTCTGGCAACATCTCTCATCAGTATTATTATCTACCTTTGGCTTTTAGAGTGTGTGATCAAACTGCAGTTCTCTTCCATAGCTCTGGATATATTAGTCAACAACAACAACTTGCACGTATATAGCACCCTCTACGCAGGGTAGCGCCTCAGAGCGCTTAACAATGGCGGAGCCTGAATCCGAGCTGGTGGGGGGGACGGCTGTGGCTGTAAGCACGGTCGAAGACGAAGGTTTTCAGGCGGGACTTGAAAAAGGGGAGAGGGGGCAAGACGGAGGCATTGAGGGAGAGTGTTCCAGAGTTTTGGGGGGCAGTGGCTGAAAGCACACCCTCCAATGGTGGGGTGGAGGGTGCGAGGGATGAGCAGGAGGCCGGTCCCAGTCGAGCAGAAGCACCGGCTGGTGGATTGGGAAGTGAGGAGGTTGGAGATGTAGGGAGGTGCCAGAGAGTGAAGGGATTTGAACACAAATGTGAGGATCTTGAAGTCGAACATGGAGGTGAACATGAAGGTGTGAATATGTGAGCTAAAGATCAAATGTGTTTAAGACTTTCCATTGGTGAAATATACAATACAGCCAACATTATTCAGAATGCCCAGCTCCAAATCATAGAACAGACAAGCTAACATCTTACTTACAGAATTCTAGCAGAGACACGTCAATACAAAGCAGGGATAAATCAGTATCTTATCCATGTTTGCTTTGGCTATTTTGTTAGATAATTATAAAAGGATTAATAACTCAGTATGTGCCAACAAATAACAGACAAAAATAATTCCTTTTGATTTTTCTGAAAGGATCCTCTAAGCTGCACACTTTGATGGTCAAAGAAGGCAGGCTGGCATCCTCCATCTAGCTTCACACAACAGGTACACAAGAGGGCTGGTAATGAGTCACCTTCTGATTTTAATCCCTTCTAGGCAGATTTGCCTGGTGTCTGCTTTATACTTACCCTTAGCAGTGGACTTCAGATGATCTGTTCAGTAGACTGACAGAATGAGGGTGAACCCACATCTCACTACTCCTCTGCTGGTTAGATTATAACTGTTTCTTTAAACTCAGTTTTTTGAAGTTACATATCCTCGATTACTATTCTGTATTAATGCCAAGTTTCAAACATTACAAAAGTCTTTCCCAATAAATACCTTTTGTTTTCAGAATTCATAATCCACGATTCCTTTCTCTAGAGTTATTAAATAAACACTAGAGCCTCAGCTATCTCCTGCTTGGTTTCCTTAAGGATTCTTGGGTTTAATCCATCTGAACCAGCTGCCTTGTGCTCTTTGAGCTTGTATAATTTATTTAATATTTCCCTTCTCCCCATCTTAAATTGTTGGGATTTTACACCCTGTCCCTTCTGTTCTTACTAAATTTTCTTTATCAGTTTTCTTCATGAAAATAGAGGTAAAGTATTCATTAAGTTTTCCGCCATATGCTGTGATCTTATCCCCTTAATGGCACTATACCTACTTTAACCATTCTTTAATTGCTAACATGCCAACAGAACACTTTGCTGTTTCTTTTTATATGTATTCCTACGTTCTCCTCATGGTTCCTCTTTGCCTTCTAGTTATTTCAATTAGAGATTTGATTAGCTAATTATATATTAATCTATGCTAAATGCCCACTTTCTCAAGGTACTCATTTGAACATCTCCACAGGTGACACCACACTAGATGTTTGCAACAGCACCTCAAAGAAAGATAGATATTATTATATTATTATTATTATAAAAAGTGTACTGCATACTGAGAAAGCAGCTTGTTATTGTTAGATGTTAAAGACAAATGCACACTACCAAAGTTGGTAAATTAAACAAGTGGAAAAGAATAGACGCTGTTTGCTAAAGTCAATAAATTTACTGAAGGGCAGAATATAAACCACCATAGTTGTGGTTACAGTTAATGCAGCCATGAGGGATGATTTAGGGAACATAAAAAATAAAACTGGGAAAAGACAGAATCTCAACCCCCACTTTCCTGGCTGCCTTTGGCTCCTATTTAGGTGCAATAGATGATTTATTCTCAACAGATTCTGTGGATTTACAATGATGTAAACAGACAGATGAGGTGCTCTATTTTAATCTACCAGTAATTACAGACATCATAAACCTTTCCCTGTCCACTAGTAGTACCATTCCCACCCCTTCAAAAACGCCGTGATCACTCCTATCCTTAAAAAATCCTCCCCATCAAAACCTCCTTTTCCTTTCCAAGGTCCTGGAATAAGTTGTTGCCTCCCAGCTTCGCTCCTTCCTCTCCCGCCACTCCCTTCACGAACCCCTCCAATCAGGTTTCCATGTCGCCTACAATGAATCAGAAATAGCTTGGTCAAAGTGACAAATGACATTCCGTCTAACTGTGACCAGGGCTCTCTCTGCCTCCTCGTCCTCCTTGACCTCTCTGCTGCCTTCGAAAACGTTGACCACTCTATCCTCATGCACAGCCTCTCCTATTACCTCAACCTTTATGGTTCTGTCCTTGACTAGTTCAGATCGTACCTTTCACACCGCCTCAACTTCATCTCCACAAACAGTTTCTCCTCTATAGCCCCCGCACCATCTCGTGTGGCGTTCCTCAGGGCTCTGTCCTTGGTCCCCTCCTCTTCAATATCTATATGCTCCCTCTTGGTGACATCATCCGCAGACATAGGGTCAACTTCCAGATGTATGCGGGTGACACCCAACTGTATGCCTCTGCCTCCATCCTTGACTCTGGACCACTGCTGTGCTGACAGAATGTCTGTCAGACATCAAGTCCTGGATGAGAGCTAACTTTCTTCAATTGAACGTCAACAAGACTGAGACTCTCCTGATTGGCTCCCGTCAGCGCCTCCACACTTCAGGGACTAACAGTATCACTATCCAGGGTTGCACACTCACTAAGCCAATCTGGAACCTTAGCGTCTTATTTGACTCTCAACTGTCTTTTCTTCCCCACATCCATGTAATTACCCGCTCTGCCTTCCCCCACCTCTGCAACATTGCCCGGCTCCGCCACTGACTCACCCTTCAGGCCGCTAAAACCCTCATCCACACATTCATCACATCTTGGCTCAACTACACCAACTCCCTGCTTGTCGGCCTTCCCAACTCTTCTCTCCACCAAAACACCCAGAACTCTGCAACTCGTGTCTTCTCCCGCACCAGGCTCTGTGACCCCATCTGTGATCCCATCCACGACCACACACTCGCCCGGCTCCACTGGCTCCCCATCCCCCAGAGGATAGAGTTCAAAATCCTTGTTCTCGCCTTCAAGGCCCTCCATGGCATTGTCTCTCCCTGCCTCTGCAACCTGCTAACCCCATATCAACCTGTCCGCTCCCTCCGCTCAGCAGGCTGTAACCTGCTCCAAGTCCCTCGGCAGTCAGGCCTTCAGCTTTTCTGCCTCCACCCATGGAACTCCACCCCACATTCCCTTCACCTTGCTCCCTCCCTTGCCTCCTTCAAGACGTGTCTCAAAATCTTCCTCTTCGACCGAGGCTTCGGCCACCCTCCTGCCCTCCAGCCTCCCAGTCCAACCCCCAACTCGGGTCCAGGTCCCTGACTGTCCAGTCCAGCGCCTTGGGACATCCTCCCGATGTGAAAGGCGCTATACAAATGTAATTTTGTATTGTATGTGACAGTCTGTCACAATGTAATAAATGTAATATGTTACTTTACATAAGATTCCCATGTGGAATGAAGTTTAATACTGCAAGTTCAATATTTTAGAAATATTCTCCAAAGACATTTGTGAAAGAGAAAACTTCTTTCAATGAAAGAATAGTTCAGTGTTTTTTCTGTTTTCTGGACTTTTGTCAAGCAAATAAAATTGGGGCAAAAATAAAAAGTATTAAAAAGAAAAGGTCATTCTTTTGGAACTTAACTGAAGTTTGTTCAATTTTCCTAGACATACAGAACATCAATAACAAAGACTAAAATTAAATATAGAAACAGAGAAAATAGTCGGACAGCAGAAACAACTTTAAATTTAGATTCAGTTTTCATTGACCTGTATATTATTCTCTTTAGCTATGTAATAAGGCGCTTATCACATCTGCACTAAAAGCAGAAAGCACTAAAACAGCATTATTCTCTTTATCTCACTATAAACAGTGTTCAATTACAGCAGTGGTCATCGTAACCAGATTCCATTCTAATGAAGATCCCATACTTTATAACAAGGGCAGAAACAACTAAAGCAAACCTTCAAAATCATTTCATTTGGCAGCACTACAATTGCAAGTTTCGCTTTTAAAATGTAACTTTTTTGATAATGCAATAAAATACCATTCCTAAGGAAAGGTTTCAAACATGTCAATTTACTTACATGGTAGCTGAGAAGACCTGTGCCATCCTGCAGGGGTGACAGGCTACTGAATTACAGTAAATCCCTGGAATAAATCCAGTTACCATAGTGATTGCACCTTTGTGATATCATCCGAGATGTCATTGGGTTTGACACAAGTTACACAGAAAAGCAGGATGTTCCAAGGACGTTCAAAACATTGAGAGACTCAACGTCTGGACAAGTGAATTGTAAATGCTATTTTGCTCTGAGAAATCTATTTGTATCTATTAGAGCTAATCAGCATAGCAAATATGGTTGCATAATCAGTGCTAGATCATTAAACAAAGGGCAGCAGGACATATTTAAGTTTGCTATTTGACCAGATATTAATTGTTATATAATTTGAGGCAGCAATAGCAATCTGACTATATTAGAGTAAAAAAATGATAAATACGATAAAGCACAATATAATACAACTGACATTTGTATAGTTCCTTTCATGTTGGGAGGATGTCTCAAAAAGCTTCACATAAGTGCCTCGGCAACTGAGCTGAAGAATGGGAACCGAAGAGTGTGGGGAGGGGAAAGCTTACCAAAAGCGTGATCAAAGAGATATACTTTAGGCGGTCCTTGAACATAGGAAAGAGGGAGGGAGGGACTCAGAGATTGGGGGCAGAAACCTCATATTGTTAAAATGATCATCATGTCAACCTACCAATATTCATAACAGTAAAGAGTTCTCTTTTAAATAATAAAAACATACCTTAATTTTTTGAAATTGCTGCTCCATTGCTCTTAAACTTGTCTTTGCTTCTTCATCTTTTCCTTCTAGATCAGATTCCAACTTCTTTATTCTTTTTTCCAGAAAAGCAACTGAATATTCACTTGAAGATTTACAATCTGCTCCAGATACAGAGGCAGCTGCATAAATAAGGGCAGGCAAGGAATTTGGATATCGCCTCCGTATTATTTCTTCCATTTCCTTCACCTGTCATAATCATCAACAAGAGATAAGTTGCTTTTGCACGTATACTTTCATCATGTAATGGACTACAATTAGTCTTTCGAATGAATTCAGTAAAACATGATTCATCCCTTAGGGATTTGCAGTCACTATGGTAATGAAGCCACATTAGATAGCAGTTAACTTACTGGTCTTCCATAGTTACAGTGTGCACTGGTACCAGTGAATGGCACTGAATGACTTAGAACAAAGATAGGAGAAGTAGTGAATCATGGCAACTAGAGGACTGGCTCATTCGCATAGGATATTAGCCAACATTAGCTGGGAGGGAAAGTAAGATAGAGGAGGAAATACCCTCAAACTTCAGGCACAACTGCTGTGAGAAAGCAAGAGCACCTATATAAATTCCTTACCTCAAACAGGAACCTCTTTTACCAAGGCCTATTGTGCAGCAATGTGACACACATCCTTTAAATGTATAACACTGTTGCCTCCTTTTATCATGAAAGTGGTAAAATAAGCACGGCTTTACTTGGCATGGACCAGTATCCATTCCTTAGCTATAATCACTGTCTAACTGGAGTTTGGTTCTCTGAGTCTCAATTGTGAGAGTGATAAGTACCATAGAGTTAAAATAAGTTTTTACTTATTCAAACAGTAAAGGAATTTCAGATAACAATGCACAAAATGGCCATTTTATGTATTGTCATTTAAAAANTATATATATTAAATTATACAGCTGTAATTTGGTCAAACAATAAAACAGTCAGAAAAAAAGTTCCCTCAATTGGAGACAGGGATTTGAATCCTGATAATATTTTGTGTCAAAGTAAGAAAAAGATACAATTAGAGTAGATTTCTCTAGTTGGGGAGCCAGTAACAGCACAGGCATAAGAAGCCAAATAGCATTCTCTGTGCTATATATATTGTTTGATTCTGGCATCCTCTATCCTATATATTGTTTGATTCATATATTCATGAAGAGCAACATCTCCTCTTCCCAATCCAAGAAAACACTATTGATACCAGCCGTTTTTTTGTTTTGTGAGTATATTTGTAGTGGTATATTTGTATTAGTTAGTAAACGAGCAAATGGGGAGGTTAAGAGAAATTTTTTCATGCACAGAGTAGTGGGATATGGAATGCCAGGAATAATTGTTGAGGCAAAATTTATATTGGCCACCATGAGGAGCCTAGAAAAAAAAGTCAGCAACAGGATGATAATAATAATCCTTGAATTTGATATAGTTCCATATTACATCTTTGAGATGTCTCAAAGTGCTTCACAGAATATACTGTAAAGCGAATTGACTATTTCGTGAGAAAAACGCAGCAGCCAATTGCACACAGTAGTGTCCCACAAAGAGACGTGAATTGAAGTGACCAACTTATTATTAGAATTTTTTTTGAACAAATTATTACTCCTGGAAAAGCGATCTGTCAATCAACTGGGTTCCTACTTCCTGCTAGGTAAACAAAGACCTGTGGAATAAGGAAACTTGCCCAACATTTCGGCCTTTCCAGGAATCGGACTCAGGTCTAATCATTGAGCTGCAGGACTCCAAGAATGTCAAATTTATGGAAACACTTTCAAATTACCCTTGCATATGTGCAAATCAAATAGCGAAATACAGAAAAAAAGATATTTTAAAACCCTATTACTGTGATGAATATATTAACAAAGGGTTTAACAAAGCATTGAGTGCTGTTCATTCAATGAAAAAGATTCACTCTAACTCCAATGGGACAAAACCCTTACTCAAAATTTTACTCAATCTGATTTTGCTCATCTGTCTGAACAAGAGTTTTAAAAACTTATTACACTATTTTTATAGGTCATACAATATGTTTGGGCTTGTTTTGCAGCTTTGGAATAAACAGATGGAGTGATCCACAACCTAGAATGTCTCGCCATCCTATTTGGGGAGGAAGAGAAAATACTGAATATTTCAGCAATAATGTAAAATAAGATAAGTTTCCCAGAATTGTGAATTCCCACATAGATGGATATCTAGATCTGGAAACAAAATCAAGTGTTCAGTTCCTCCAAAAAAAAGGCAATGAAGTAAAGATAGATCATCCCAAATTACCATTCCTGTCAAACTTCGAAGTCAGAGTACTTAGAGTAATCAGAATTGCTCATCATTCTCAATTGCACTGTAATACAAATAATAATTTATTTCATGCCCCCGATTACGCTTTCTAACACCACTGCTTTAGCTTTGTTCAAGCAAACATATCTCAAGAAAACTGAAAAATTAAAATAATACAATACAAATTTACATTTGTATAACACCTTTCACGTCGGGAGAATGTGAATCTGTGTTTAGTTAGTACAAAAATTTATGTGGTCCAGCAAGTTCTGGTGTTGGCCGGTGGGATACTGGGCTTTGCACTTAGGACATTCCAAAAAAACTTTCACTGGGAAGATTGCTGGATTCAGGAAGCTCGCAAGTTCATGTAGCTACCATCGACTTAGTGAAGCCTCCACAACTACTTGCATTTATATAGCATTGTTCACATAGTGTTGACACCTGATATCAGTGCTTGTCGGATGTCAAATGACCAACTAGTGACAATCTTCAACTATCTGCAACTATCGCCTCTCCCTCTCAAAAGTCCAAACTGCCTTTTACTCCAAAACCATTTTGGAGGCCAAAAACAACCAATAGCACTGTTCTCCACCATCCATCATCTCTGTGCGCACCCCCTCACCCCACCACCCAAGCTGTCTCCATCCTCACTACAAATGCCAAGTGCAAACAGGCATGTCAAGACTTCTTCATGTCAAAGACGGAAAATATCCACTTGGATGTATTCCCCTCCCCTACATCCCCTTCTGCATCCCCCAGACCGTACACCACTCCTTCCTTCTGCCACAGTCACTACCAATCCTCCCTTCCTACATTCCTTTGCCCAAATTACTCCCACCTCCCTCTCAACCACCATCTTCCAGATGAAGCCCACCACCTGCTGCCTCAACCCCCCACCACCCAATTGCTGGTCACCCAACTCCCCCTCCTCTCCCTACTACTGGCCGACACAGTTAACCAGTCGCTCTCCTCAGGTTCTGTTCTTCTCCCCCATAAAACTGCTGTCATCACCTCCCTCCTCAAAAAAACACCCTTGACCCCTCCAACCTTCTAAAGTACCGTCCCATTTCCAACCTGCCTTTCCTTGTCAAAGCTCTGGAATGCATTGTCGCTAACCAGCTTTGCTCTCACCTCCCTCCTCAAGCACCTCCAGTCTGGTTTTCGCCGTATAGGATATGGGTAAAAAGGCAAGTAAGCAAGACTGAAAGGAATGCTCTTGAGGGAGCTGCCACAGAGATAATGGCCCAAATGGCCCTTTGTTCTATGGTTGACTTTGATTTCACTGATATGTAAGCAGTTATACTGCTTAGATTATTGACTGAAGGAAACACATACCTGCCGTTCAAGGTCTTGAATTCGTTTGGCTTCCAAACCTCTTTCTTTTGCTCTCTTCGGGAGTGGATCACTTTTGTCTCTTGTTTCAGTTCTAAGTTTTTCAACCTGTCACATTTAAAGAAATGTTAGGAAGCACATAAATTCACTTCACTAGAAATAAAAGCTCTAAGATAAAAATGCTCAAGTGACGTAGATTATAATTCAATTAGTCTTTTTTTACTATTACAAATAAAATATGAAAGATAATTACAAATAGTTATCCTTACATGCTCAGCACCAAATGAGACTCATTTATTGGTCTAACCTAAGAATGTTGAAACTGGCTGTAAAACCAATATTGTTACCTCTCTTAAGTCAGTTAATGGGCGCAATTCAGGGTGAAACCAGGAACCTTGTGGATCTGTGTAGGTATCTCACTCCAGGAAAAAAGCAATGAGACTTGCTTTTCCAGTGATCATTGTTGGAAGTGCGTGTGCATTGCCATTGGGAGGAACACAACTGAGCTCAGCCTCAGCTGGTATGCACAACTGAGCTCAGCCTCAACTAAGATCCAATAGATATTAATGATTCATCAAAAAGCACCCAAACAGCTTGATGTCAAATGATTAGCAAGTGACTCAAACAAAAGGATTGAAATCTAGTGGATTTCTTAACCAACAACATTTATTTGTAAAAGAAGTGATACATCGGTGGAAGTTCAATGTCCCTTGAGCAATCCAGCCTGGTGCAGCAGTATGATCAGAGAATCAATTGCTATTTGTGTTAAGTCAACGCATCGAGCTTACGTGCTCTAATTTGTCTCACTACCCCATGCAAGGGAAACAACAAAAATGATTAGCCAGGAGCTTGTATTGCTCCTGATCACTATCCAATGTGCTCTGCTTAAAAGATGTGCACATAAGGATGTCTGGAGAGAACAGGTTCAGGCTCAGATGTTATGTCTCCTGTCAACTATTCACTGTCAGGGCTACAAATGAATAATGTGATCCCGGGAAAGATAATGCGGCCCATGAATTAAAAATAATAATTCTTGCATTTGACACAGCACTTTCACGTCGGGAGGAAATCTCAAAACTCTTCATAGAATTTTACTGTATAGTGACTATTTTGTAGGCAAATCAGTAGAAGGAAAATGTCATCAAAAATTACTTCAGAAGGTTAATAGGAGAGAATATAGGAAGATAAACTTTAACAGAAATAAATATGAATTATAGTTATGTACCTGTTCCTTCAATGCCTCAATGTTTACATTTGCTGCTTTAAGCCTCGCTGTATCCTTATCCAGCATTTCCTGGTTTTCTGCATACCACTGCAACCTCTTGTTGAGACGATGGATTTCTTGCTTGTTCTGTTCTTGCATCATTTTCATCTCAAATTCTTTATCACCTGAACATAGTGATTTTACAAAATAAATACAATTTAAGTGATAAAAAAAGTAAAGTGGGGAATCCTAATCGTGCACTTATAAGGTGTCACAAGGTGTCTGTAAAAGTCCTCCCACCACTCTGAAAGCAGACGTCTATCAGATAGCTGATAAGGAAACTCTGAGATTGTGGCCTGGAGTTTGTGTTCGTACATCAATCCAGCACCTGTAATCCACCTTGATTAGTTTGCAGAGAGGTAAGATCAATGGGAAGGGTTGTGTGTCCAAGCTGTGGACAGGAAGATGGTGGCAATACTCTCATGCATTTCATGCTGAGCTGTGTTGCCCACCAGGAAGCTAACGGGAAGTCCACCTAGTGAGAGCTCCAAACCTGTGCTTGTCGAATGTCTAATGACCAACCAGTGAGTAAGTGGGGTAACCCTGGAGCTAAAGTAGCTCCAAAGTGACATGCTTGGCAAAGGAATGTCAGAATTGAGCCTATTCTCCCTGGCAGTCTTGGTAATCCAGTTTCTGAACCAAGAAGGTCCACAATACTCCAGGGCACTGCTGATGACAGCCCATAGACTCATTGGCAGGACTAGAAGGGCAGACCAGTCACTGGGGTTAACTCCTGTTAACCCTGCAAGCCAAAACCCTAACAGGTAGGGTGGTCCTAGTTGAACAGGGCAGCAGGAAAGCTTGCCAGACTGTGCTTTCTATGCTGTTTTAGCCAGAGTGTGCGTTGGGTTACTGCTGTAGACTACAGCAGTAGACCAAAAAAGACCAAAAAAGATTCCAAGATTGCAACCTTAACAATGAAGATAAGCATCTCTTTGTACTGTATTAACGTATTGTAGAATGCTAAGAGTCAATTATTCAGCCCTTCACTAGAAGATAGTCATTGTTTAGATTTGAACAAATTTCACTCAGGATTGTATCAAACTTAGTTTGAAAAATCCCATTTTGTTTAAAGAAATAATCACAAAAAAACAACTTAAGAACCACCAGCAATCAGCAGGATAATGAAAGCTTCCATGTGATTTGAACTACAACAATTTGCAGTTATAAACTAGTTTCATGTGGGGTAGCACCTCGGAGTGCTTAACTCCAAGACGTTTTAGACTTTAGTACTGGTGACATACCTGAAATATAACTAACATGCGCCTTTGCCATATCACGCTCCTTCTTCATTTGTTCTAGATCCACCTCTAATGCCTGCTTTTCTTGCTTAAGTTTTTTTAACTCCTCCATAAATTTTACTCCTTCCTTCTGAAATGTCAAAAATGAAAGAAAAATAAGACAATGCTCATACAATACAAAATTACATTTGTATAGCGCCTTTGACGTCAGAAGGATGTCCCAAGGTGCTGGACAGTCATGGATTTGGACCCGACCTGTGGGGAGAAAGGAGGGTGGAGGGCAAGGAGCGTGGCCAAAAGCATGGTCAAAGAAGAGGGTCTTGAGAGGCGTACTAAAGGTAGATGCTAGGAACAGGGATGAATTCCTATTGACTGTTAAAGATACCAACCTTGCCAGTGAGTGCTTAATAATGGAAAATAGATAACTTTACCACCCAGAGACATTTCACCCTATATATTCATATTCTTGAAGCTAAGGTCGAGCCATCTTAATGAATTTGCTTGCCCCCTGCTACAGTATGATATGAACACACTTGGGGGAAGTGCTTCATCTTAGAGGGAAGTACTCCACTCGACGGGAGTCTTACCAATACGGGCATTTACCAATGAAGACAGGCATTTCCAATAGGTAAACATTAATCTAATTATTAATGTCAATTTGTTTCTCCTTAGTGACCTATTTATTTATATCATTATATTAATTAACATTTATCTCAATATTGTGCCGTGAATCTGGAAGCCCAACATGTACTTCCCATTCTGAATTGGGGGCACTTTTGGCATTCTTAGTGAAGGCACTTTGCCAGAAGTACAGAACAGCAAAATCTAGCTTTTATTGTATAGTGTTATTAAAGTGCCAGTTGTTTGATCAGCTCCATCAAGTTTTAAAAATAATTTGTTTACATTTTATAGACTATTCAAACAGAGCTTTGAATGCAACACTGAGGATGTGATTCAGATTTGCTGGGTTAATATTGCTCCATGTGCTATTAGAACAAGGAATCCACAGCAATTTGGACTGTCTTAGCCTCATTTATACTACCTTGTTTAATGTGCAGTTATTGTCAGAATCACAGGAATTTGCCAGCAAACCATGAGAAATAAAGACAGTATAAATTATTATGAGCAAAAGTGGTACATCGACAATAATAAGTTGGTCAGCAGAAGGCTAAGACCTTCCATTTGTCATGTACCACTGCCTCAGTGGGTACCAATGAAGGCTCAACCTTGTTATTTGAGTTTTGCATTCAATTACATTTTTAAAAACGAAGTGGTTTTATATTCTCACAATTAATTTTTAACATTTAACAAGTTGAGACAATTTTTTATGAAAGGCAGAGGAACAGGACTTAAAGTTCCCCATTAATGTCTCACAACTGCCATTTCAAAAATGCAGAAATATAATTGCAAATATTCTCCAAAAGTGGACAACAAGTTTGCATTTATGTAGCCCTCTTCACATAGGCAGCATCTTGGGAGTACTCAACAGCACTTTGATGCTGAGCTGGACCAAAGAGGAAAGTCTTTAGGGACAGTGAAAGATGGGTCAAGACAGAGGTATTGAGGCCAGCAGTTCCAAGCAGTAGACCAAGCAATAATAAATATAAAAGAATCAACAGATGAATCTTGGTAATTGTCACTCTGGCAATCTCCTAAATAACATCTTCCTGGCTGGGTGGAAGCATTAGTACAAATGGATGCATTGGCTCAGGTTTGAAGTATATATGAAACATCAAGCGTTAACATTTTTCTTGTGGAAATGAAGGGAACATTTACTTTTACTTGCCTGTGTTATTCTCAGCTGTGAAAGCATTTCAGTAAAATTCTGATTTCTAATTTGATCAGGTAAATGTACATCTTGTACCGCAAGTTGTTGCTGATTACTCTTGTTCAACTGCTCCCTAATAAGAAAGGTAACAGCAAATTATAAAGGACCTGTTTATTTTCTCCCTCCCTAACACAACACACACTAATGCATTGTTTAGGCCACATTTTAAACATCATAATAAACCAAATGTTTCACCTGGTTACCCTTGGCTTAAGAAATGTTTTGACATTGTGAAGTAAAGAAGGAGATAGGTTTCCTTATTCCTCTTAAGTGATAAACTATTACAAATTGCTCACATTTTTGCTAAGATTAGGGTCCATATTTAACATTGGAATCCTCTAAATGCACATGCCAGAAATCTGCAAGTTCGATTCCTAATCTGTGATGAATTAGCTGATTTGAGCTTGGAAACCAGAGGAAACATTACTGCGAAACATTTTTACAGTTAATGACGGAATTTGGAAAGCAAAACACCACAAATGGTGCTAAACACCAAGCGAAACTCCATGGGTCTTTTTTTGCTGTGATAAAATTTTTAGATTACCATTGCAAAAGTCTTAAATAGACCTCATTCACAGGTGAACTAGTGTTCTTTTACTCCACGAATTCCCTTGCTTTAAACTATTTTAAGACTATCTTTGATTTCCGACTGTTGTGGAAGAGCCCAACATGTAGGATTAGAAAGTGGGTAAACTGGACAACACATTCTTTTAACTTAAACATCCATTCTTTTCAGCTACTCCTGCATTCCACGATTCCACTGATTTGCCTTATTCAAACATTAGTTATGTGTTGAGATATTTAATAGAAATTATTTGTGTCCAATGATTCATATCCCACATTTTTGCACTTTTGCCTTGAGCGTGTATACTAAAGGAGAATAGACGGAAGAGGGTTAGGAAAGAGGCAATTCTAGGACTGATAACATTTGTGGATTAGAAAAAATGTCCAATATTAATAAGGAGAAAACAACCTGTGGAAAATTTGTAGCTGACTAAGAATATAAAACTACCTCAAGTGACACTCTCTCCTCACTCATGACTAATGTCTCATCTATTTGATTTACAGCCACCTTTACAGTTCAACAACTTCAGAGAGACTCAGACATTACTTTAAGACTTTGGTGGAAAAGAAGTTACACCTAATACTATTTATCAGCATTTGGACAAGAAAATGGACTTCAACCTTCAATGAACTGTTGCACTGAATTGCTGTCGCTTATTAGACTGATGGTCACACCAATTGTCGTAAGCCTAACATTATTTCGATTGCACAAAAATGTACATAAATCTGTGTCAATTTATGTAACATCTTCACTTGGTGTGCTTTGTAGTGGCAAAGAACTGTGAAGGTTTTATTCTCATTATTTACTGTTAATGTGCCTAAATTTTCTGTCTCTGTTAACGCCTTTTAATTTCCTCTATCTTTCCTAACAGGAAGAGCTCTTGTATGTTAAATGATATTTATGCATCCCCTTAACTCTTTCTATTTCAAAGTTTAGCTCCCCAGGCAATTGAGTTCTGCAAATGGGCTTGGTGATCCTGTACTAAAGGGGAAAAAAATCAACAGGAATCAATAGCCTGTTTACTATCTAGGGAACACTGTTTCCAATTGCTTATGTGTGCACATTGGGTAAGCAAAGGTTGGTATGATGACCTCCACAGCCAAATAGCCTGCCGACACTCTTAGCCTAGCCTTGCACATGAGGAATGGTCATTGGATGAGATACTTTGGAGTGTGGGTTCCAATTAAGTGCAAGAGTTAGCAGAAGGGGACAAGAGGAAAAGCTGAACAAATAGAATGTGTGCTGTAACCGATCAATTGCCTATGAAGAACATGTAAATGTATTAGTAGCATTGCTTCACACAAAATATATTTAATAATCAGTGTATATTTCAACTTTCAAAAATATCAAGTTCTGTGTCCTTACTTCAGACGGCCCACTTCAGCCATCAAAAGCTGATTTTCTGCAGACATTTTCTCTTTGTTCACTTTATTGAGGAGCTGAAGTTCTTTCACCCGTTTGTAAAGCTTTTCATTTTCCTAAAACAAAAGGTTTTAAATATGTGTACAAAGACAGACAAGTTGCGTCATTTACAAAATCCCAAAGAAAACAAGATTCATAAAATAAAGTTCTTTAGTTTCTCCAAGAAATTAAAGTACTTTGAGAAATAAAAAGCAGAATTGTAATGTGGTAAATCTGAAATAAAAAGAAAGTCATAGAAGTTCAACAGAATCTCTGGAAGAGAAAGCTGGATTAACATTTTGGGTAAAATTCTCTAGGACGTTGGAATTTTTGCCCATCACTTTCCTCCTGCTCACATACATGGTTGCTTCTCTCCTCTCTTCTACTGTGAAGTTATATTCAGTACCTGCTTGTTTTGATGAATGGGTAATTCCTGAAACTTTTTCCTTTCAGATGCTGATTGACAAGACTTGCAAAGAATGTACAGCATAGAAACAGGCCGCTTAACTTAACCAATCTGAGTCAGTGTTTATACTCCACACTTGTCTCTACCCATTCCTTACTCACTCCAATACCCTTCTATTCCCTTCTCCCTCATGTAAAGGTCTAGCTTCTTCTTGAATGCATCTATAGTCTGCAATAAAACCAGCAGTGCACAATTCAATATTGTTGTTTCCCCACGTCAGCATATTATATTGTATTTCAATCTGTTTCAACAATTTTTCTTCCATTAGTGTACAAAGCCATAATGACAGAAAAATTTTACATGTATATAGTGCTTTTCATTTTAGGAGAAGATCTCAAAGTACTTCACAGGACTGATTGGTAACCCAAGATCGGAACAACTAAAAACATGTGATTCGTTTGCATTCTCATAAAATCTCAGAACTTTCCTCAAATAACTTCTTTCTGGTTGGAGGTGGGGGGATCTGGGGTAAATGCAATATGAGATTAAAACTAATGGTCTGTTTTACATTCCCAACATTCAGTATCAGAAAACCCAAATGACTTTCACAAACCAAAACAATTAAAAATATTTTATCCAATTTTCCACCTTATAAGCAAACCATTAAACCATCTATTGCAATAGCATACACACTGGAAAACAACAACCGTGTTTCAATACCTGATGGTAGCCTTGAATAAGGGTTTCTTGCTCCTGAATATCTTTTTCAATTAACTTAAGCTTTTCTTCAGTAACAGGCTCCATGGCTTCCCCGAACTCCCATTTTTTCTTACTGGTCTCCAGAGTGTTCAGCTTTGGAAAGAAGAGTGAAGGTTATTACAAATCACAATACAGATCATTAAAAAAAATCTTGAAACAAAAGCCTTGAATACAGCAGATGAGGGTACCACGTGAAATGGAACTGAGCCATGTAGTCTATTCTGTACCTATGGTCTACGTCTGATATTTGGTCTATTTGATCCTTTCCTACTTAATAATAATAATCCTTGCATTTGATGTAGCGCTTTTCACGTGAGGAGGACGTCCCAAAGCGCTTCACAGAACACACTGTAAAGTGAATTGACTGTATATTTGTAGGCGAACGCGGCAGCCAATTGCGCACAGCAATGTCCCACAAACAGTCGTAGATTGAAAATGACCAATTTATTATTGTTTTTGGTTTTGGAGGGATTATTATTAAGCGTGTGGAGTAAGGAAACTTGCCCAAGGTTTCACCCTGCCTGGAATTGAACTCAGGTCTCTCGCTTGCAAAGAGAGTGCTCTAGCCACTGAGCTACAGGACTCCACATCTTCAGGGTAAATGGGAGGGGGGTGGGTGGTGAAGGAGCAGATGGTATAACAGACGAGACAGATAAAACATGTGCTAATATCTGGTGTCCTAGAATAGGATAGGGAGTGGGAAGATGCACACAAACACACACAATTGTCAGAATTCCTAGTCCTGATCATTCTTGCCCGAAGCCCATGCGGACACTAGGATGAGGACTAGTTTAGACTTGCCTTTAAGGAGCCCGATAATCGAATGGCCCACCAACACTCTGTCTCCTGGCTCATAGGAGAAGAATCACCAAGATGACAAGGCACCAGAAGGCCACTACTGCAGTGAATGTGCACCTCATTAACATTTACTGCCTTTGAGGTGGGTGCGAGGAGGTGTGGGGGGCAGGGAACATATTCGGAGATGGTGGGAGTGAAAAACACATGGTAAGTAAGTTTTTAATCAATTGTGTAATTGATTTTCTTTTAGTTTTATTTTAAGCATCTCCCATTCTGATCTTTCTTCGGCTTCCTAAACTGGTTCATACAAGCTCAATGGAAACTTCAGAAGCAGCATCTCATCTTTGTGCCAGGAATTCACAGTTCTCTGGTATGAAGGATAACTTCAACAGCTTTTAGCTTTAGTGGTCTAATACTGCTTTCATAACTCGCTAATCGAATAGTGGCCTGCATTCTTGCCAGCTTATTTTGCAGGACTCAAACCAAGCCACTGACAGCAGCACGGAAACCACATATGTTGTCTGCATCTGTTTCCAAATCATGAATTATTTCTTTCTGAGTAGGCCTGTACATCTCAGCAATCCTGATATATTTCAGACCGATCTGGACCATCTCACCCAGAGTCAGAATAGCATGCCAGCCAGTGCAATTGGCGGGCAACCAAATACCTGCCCATTTACCTTGTTGCATAGGACAATGCCTTCTCCAAGAATTGGGATGAAGAACCACCTCAAAAAGTGATGGGAGCGTCCTTTAGAGTGAGCTGTATTTATCACTCATATTGTATTGTATCATCAAAGGTAAGGCTTTCACTAAACTCAGCGTAAAACAAGTTCAAGGCCGTGATTCACCATCTGCTGCACTTTTTATGTTTCTTTTTATTCTGTTTCCTGTATTGCTACTCTGCAAGTTATAATCTAGGCTATATAAAACCATTCTTCTGATATAATACTAAATGAAGATCAATGAAGTAATGTGCCCCAATTGTACAGATCACTAAACACATAACTAAAATGGTGATATTTAAATATTCCCCCAAAAAGAGACAACAATCAGATATCCTGAGATCTGCAATAAGAAGTAGCTTTAAGATTAAAACATATAGATGAGGATCTTACTAGACCAAAGTGGACCATGATTTGTCACTCTGATGCATAACAGGATAATACTCTACTATAAGCATTAAAGTTATACCAGCAAGTTTGTACCAAGCCATCAGAAAACATTAAATCACTGTGACAGGGATGTTTTAATCTTTCATAAACGGCTTGCACTTCCGATTCGAATACCCTTTTTTAAACCAATTTTGCTGGTGACAGGGCATTAACATAAACATAAGCACAAATGGGACTTGGGCCTCTCAGCATAACTTTGGTGGTAAACTTGTTCAACAACTGAACAAACAAATTAATTTAAAACAACTGTAATTTACACTCTCAAATATAAACAATGTGAACCACATAAACCACGTTCAGGTCTGTGGTGTTTGGGAGCCACCTGCAGGTCAATCACAGTGAGAAACAGTACTGGACACATTCTCTGGAACTCTGCACCTTGGAATTTACTGCTGAACCACACTTCCTTCTTCCAACAAGTTGCAAATCAGCTTTTTTTTTAAAAAACTTTTGTAGTAAATACTATATTAGCATACTTTTTGACAATGTTCTTTGTAATTTGTCGCTCTGGATTTTATATATTGTAAATTGTTTGACGAACAGCATCGCTGGTTCTCATTGAAGCCTCTCCACAGCCATTTTCCACATGGACAAAGGCAAAATGAAGTCTATAAAGTACTCAAACAGCATCACTGCTGTGTGACTGCTGACAAAAGGGGCAAAAAACGTAATTTTCTTCAGGTATTCAGGATTCTCGAGACAAGTTCTAATCAGATATATGAGGTTATATAAGATTTTATGATGCAGAATTCCATCTGCAAGGCACCCCAAATAGCAGGACAAATATGTGCAACACATTTATAAGCAGCAACGATTTTAAACTAGAAGCTATCTTATCACTTACAACTTCACTTAATTTAGAAGAGACCTGAAGTGGCAGAGCAATCCTTCATAAAGTGATTCAGTAGCACGAAAGTAAACTAAACTAAGAAAATAATCCTCTCTCTCGATCAGCATCTTTTGATCTTAAAAAGTATTTTAAAAAAATACAATTTCAACCATTTTGATGGCTATATTTTGTAATTTTCAGCTATCAATGCTTTGTACCAAATAAGTCATTCGCTAAAGGAATTTGTAAAATGTCTTTTTAAACAAAATGTTTCCTTGGACAAAAAATGATAAAAGATAACAATTCAATCAGTAGGTTCCAATCACATTTATCTGATGCAAACATCACATTTTTTTTACAATTTATAACAAATCCTTGAATATTCTCTCAGAGATGATAGATTATTGAAAAAAGATTAATGTATATTGACATATCTTCCAGTTCAAAAAGTTATACTTTCACAATTTCTGATCTGAAAAAGAGAGATACAATAAATGACTTTCCATAGATCTCCATTACCTACTATTAGATTCTGGCATTAGACATCAGATCTAAGTGAGGTGACTTGTACATAAGGATCAAATATTAAGAGTGCAAGACTGAAATAATGTATTTTTATGTGCTCATCAGCTGTTAAGACAATGCCTATGCTCTTTCTGCTGATTGGGATCTCTTTTAAAAATGACAGGTCTTCCTGGCACAGTTGCACCTTATGGTATATTACACTTTAACAAAACTGCGTTATTTGCATTTTACCATGTCAAAAATTAAACTGATTCACTCTTTGGATAACTCTTTGGATAGCTTGTATTGTACCCATGTTAATAAATTCTCCAGAGCAACAAAGTAGAGGAAAGATGACAGAAAATAGTAAAGATAGGAGAGAGAACAAAGTTGAAAAGAGGAGAGTATAAAAGAAAATGGAACGGAAAAGAGGGATGAGAGGATGAATAAAAGTAGAGGGGAATAAATTTACCTTTGTTTGTAGTATATACATCTGCTCCTTTAGTTGAGGAAGTTGCTGTACTTCTTGATCTTTCCTGAGAAGTTCCTGTTCTTTCAGTTCCAATTCTGCCTTTAACTTCTCAACCAGGTTGTGCTCAGTATTCCATCTTTGATATGTTTCCTCCAGTCTTTGAAGCAGGAGGATTTCCCTGGTTACACTGCTAGCCTGCAGTAAGCTTTTGGATACCTCTAAATCATCTCTGGCAGAGAACTATTAAAATAGGTTACAAGAATTACTGAACGTTTGTTTTTGTTTTAAAAAAAATCAGTTATCAAAGAACATGGATATAACAATGAACACATATTTTGACCTAAATTATGAAGATTCTCAAAAAGGATTCTGAAATAAATAAAACACCATTATTGAACCGGATGATAGAGAATACCAGAATCCGTGAATAGGTTTCAAGGCTTTAACACAACTGAGAGCTTCAGGTGACATTTGAATCAATCAATAAAAAAAATCTACTTTCATCTCTGAAGGCAATTCCAGACATTTTCGATTTTTAACTAAGCCATTATTTAAGTCTTGCCATTGAAATCTGTATTTTATTTTGCTGCTGCATTAGAACTACAGGGCACTTCCTGCACATGGCAAGGCCAAGAAATACACAAATCCAGCAACGCTCTCTAGAATAGTGAAAGAAGTGATAATAATCATAAATAATTAATATAGGGCTTGCCTTTGATATAGCGCTTTTCACGTCTTCTAGATGTCTCAAAGCGCTTTACAGAGTTTACTGTAAAGTGAGTTGACTGTATATTTGTGGGCGAAATGCAGCAACCAATTGCGCACAGCAGTGTCCCACAAACAGTCGTGGATTGACCAAATTATTGTTTTTTTTTCTTGAGGGATTATTATCAGGCGTGTGGAGAAACTTGCCCAAGGTTTCTCCACATAATAATAGTGACCTGACAACTTGGAAGTCAGACATGTCTTAGGTATGGAAAGCCAGCTAGTTAGTTAAGACACTGGATGTACCAAGTTTCCAGTTAGCACAGGTCCACAGGCTAACAGTGTTATAAGTGAGGCAGTGCTAGGCGGGGTGCTGGGGTGGGGAGGGGTTGCACTGTAGTTGCAAGATTTGATGTGATTGAAGTATTTTGGTAATAACTAAAAACTTTTGAGATCAAAAACGAAAATGTATTATAAACAATTAATTGATCCACACGCTGAAACAACAAGCACCTGATCTCCAAGCTGCTCCCAACACAGACACAGTTTAGGCACAAAACCATGGCCAATTTATAAGGCAACCCATCTGAAATCACGTAACTCACCACAGAACAAGATTGAAACTGCAATTGCTTGGTCTGTCTAACATCATGCTACACTGGGTTACTCCTTTAATCTGCCAAGCTGTTGATCAACTGTACTTTTTAAGAAATTTGATATGCTAACAAGTCTTTCACCTGGGAGAGCTGTATAAAAAAACAGCTCAAAAGGTGATGTTTATACACTGGTGACACTGAAGAGCTTGACATTTTACCTGTTCTTTGCTTTGGCCATGGTGTAATTCCGTATGCTGTAGTGTACTGTTGCTCATCTGTTGTTCATGGCAAGTTGTAAATAACTGCGCTGAGGCAATCAATTGTTTTTCAAGGTAATTCCTGTCAAATTTACTCTTTCCAGTTCTGATTGTCTGGGTTGCAAATAACTGCTCTGTTAGCACAAGAAGGAAAACCTTGGAAGAATTTATTTATATTTAGCGTAAAGATCACGAATCAAGTTCTGAATAATAGTGTTGGTAAACCGGAGGGGAAAAATCAACAAAACTTCATTAGGCAAAAAAAATCTAATTGTAAACTGTAGTATGAATAAAACAGTAGGAACAAAATAGCATAATCAGATAGAAACATTCGGATGTATAATAATAATAATAATAATAATCCTTGCATTTGATATAGCGCTTTTCACGTCAGGAGGACGTCCCAAAGCGCTTCACAGAACAGTGTAAAGTGAATTGACTGTATATTTGTGGGCGAACGCGGCAGCCAATTGCGCACAGCAATGTCCCACAAACAGTCGTAGATTGAAAATGACCAATTTAATTATTGTTTTTGGTTTTTTGGAGGGATTATTATTAGGCGTGTGGAGTAAGGAAACTTGCCCAAGGTTTCGCCCTGCCTGGAATTGAGTATAACACAGTGGTATCATTTAAATTGGGTACAATATCCTAGGAATTCAAAAATCTATAATTTCTGCAAAGGCCAACTACGAGCTTTTAAAAGCCAGGCTACCACAGTGTTTAACTTAATAATAATCGCTGGATTTGATATAGCACCTTCCAGATCAGGAGGACATCCCAAAGTGCTTCACAAGATTTACTGTGAAGTAGATTGACTGTGTATTTTGTTGACAAACATGGTGGCCCAATTGCACACTGCAATAATAATAATAATCCTTGCATTTGATATAGCGCTTTTCACGTCGAGAGGACGTCCCAAAGTGCTTCACAGAACATACTGCAAAGTGAATTGACTGTATATTTGTGGGCGAACGCGGCAGCCAATTGCGCACAGCAATGTCCTACAAACAGCCGTGACAGGAATGACCAATTTTATTTTGGGGATTATTGGCCAGGAAAGCAATAAAAAATCCTTTTTACATTAGAATACATTAGAATATACAGCACAGAAACAGGCCATTCAGTCCAAGTAGTCTGTGCCAGTGTTTATGCTCCACATGAGCCTCCTCCTGCCCTTCCTCAACTAAGCCTTCAAGCATAACCTTCTATTCCTTTCTCCCTCATGTATTTATCTAGCTTTCCCTTAAATACATCTATGCTATTTGCCTCAACAACTCCTTGTGGTAGCAAGGTTTTCTTTTCAATTAGTGCCAGAGATCTTAAACATCCACCTCAACAGATAGACACGACCTCGGTTTAACATCTGATCTGAAAGACAACTAAAGGACACCTCTGACAATGCAACACCCCCAGCATTACATTGGAGTGTCACCTTAGACTTAGCAAGTTCAAGTCCCAACATGAGACTTGAACCCATAACCTTCCAACTAAGAAGTGAAAATGCATCCAACTGAGCTAGACTGACAAACAAAATAGCTTGATTCTAGTTGCTATTTCTTCTTACCACATTAAATATTTATTTTGGGTTATCATGCAACAATTCTGGTTTGCGAAATATTTTTTTTAAAAGAAGCTTTACAAGTTTAAATTGCATCTGGATTTTTTGTCCTCAGATTATGTATATTCAAACTCGTATTAAACTTCTTTGAAACCATAAAAAAGAACCTTACCTTTTGGTTTGTCTTTTGTAATATCAGACTTGGATCGACCTTTAGTACCCATCTTTATGGCAGGTTGTTTTGGTGGAGTCACAGGAATACCTTTATTACCAATACTGAAGGATTCTCTCTTTGAAGGACTGACTTTGCCATACCCTGAACTTTTCACACATGGATACTTCATATTGTACATTTTTTTGAAACTACCTTGTGTGGTTTTGGGCTTCTTGGAAGAATTCTGTAGATTGATAAATATCATCTCATTATTCTAGGAACAGCGAAAAATACCCAGTCATCTAATTCGAAAATATAGTTGTCCACTTTCCATTTATGAGCAAGAATAGCAAGAATACATTTTCTTCATGCTAGGAAAATCTTAGCTAATAAGGACCATAGCTACCAATCAGGTGGAGAATAAACACAGCATGCAGGACAAAAGGTTATGTTAAAGTATCTATGTAATATACATAGAAATCTAAATGTACCTGGAGATCTCTGCAAATCACTGAGGAAACAGCAGGTGTGAGGTTGTGTTTGGTCACAGAATTGTACAGCTTGCTATTAACATCTACTTTGTCAGGATAAATTATTTTCGTGCCATCGGTCCTTTCACCCAAAGAACGTTGAGATAATTCTTTGGCCCTGTTTTCTCTTTCAGAATAATAAGAGTCAGGCTGTGCTTCAGAAAGAAGAGTGTTACTGGGATCTTTTAATGTCTGTTGCCTGAACATTTCTACTGCTTCAATCCCCTGCTGTGCATTTGTACTGTAGAGGGAAAGATAAATATTCACATTTTATTTTTTATTTTGGAAACAAAAAACAAACCATTTATCCAAACTTAAGTAAAACATCTTCAAAAAGATTTTTAAGTAAAACAATACATTTTGTTTTTCAATTATATAAGCAGTTATTGTGTCTCCAAAACAAGATACCTCTCGTAGAAAAAAAAATCCTAGCATTTGGTATAGTGTTTTCATGTTAGGAGTACAACCCAAAGTCACTTCACTTGATGTTCTGTGAAGTGGAGTGACTGTAATTGTTGGCGAACACTGTAGCCAGATGTTATCCTATATGAAAGGTGCTATATAAATTTAGGTTGTTGTATCATAGTTTCATCCTACATAGTATGACTCATTATTGAAAGATAAAGCTAACTCTTTCAATTCTATGAATGCTTTGGCCAGGTTCACTCATCTTGTCACTGTTGAACCTGTGGGTCACTGAGTACCCACTAGGCATATTTTATGTGGATCTCAAATTGCACAGAACTGTTTCCATCAAGTGCCCAACCAACAATGCTTTGAGACATCCTCCCGAAGTGAAAGGCGCTATATTAATGTAGATTGTACTGTATTGTATTCCCTAAACCTCCTGTCAGTTTAAAGATTGATCAAACATTTTGCATTCCAGGGTAGTGTTTCAGTATAACAAGGTGCTATATAAATTACCTAGATGACTGCTGCAGTAAAAATAAAATGTCACTGTGTTCAATACTGTCCAAATGATTAATCAAAAACGAATTACCTCACTGTGTGGGAGTCAAATCCTCTTGCAAATGCAGATTTTTCATTAATATGCTTCATTAGTTCTTCCACCGTGGGCAGATCTGAAAAAAAGAATATGCGAAACATAAACAATGTGCAGGAGCACAGCAGACCAGTATTGTCGTTTGTCTGGTTTCATTTTCAAAACCGTTAAGAAAATAATTTGTCATTTTAACTGATAACAAGGGCAATAAAACATCATGTTTATATGTGCAGTACTTTCTTTGATCTTCTAGTTTATTTTCACATTTGGTCGTATTGTTCAGATTTCAATACTGTAACAAGATTTGAATGTATATTTCGCCCACAAAATATACATTCAATTCACTTTATATTCCGTGAAGCGCTTTGAGACGCCTCAACGACACGTTAAGATGCTAATTCAAAAGCAAGGATTATTATTACTTATATCTTATTTCATATAAACACACCAACAGGCAAGTTGCAACAAACCAGATACTATTGGGTTAACTTCTTTGGACATATGTCTGCTAATGCTGAGTTTAAACTTATGGTTTTTGCTCCATAAGGAGTGATACTGAAGTGGAGTTACTGACACTTATAAGTGTCCTCTTCGTAGTCTCCGCTTTTATCTGTAAAACTCCTGGGTTTGGTTTTGCATACCCTTATGCAATTAATAGGTTTGAAATCTCCAACACGGAAGAGGCCATTTGGCCCAAAACGGCTGTGCTTTTAAAGTGTGGTCACATTTATAAAGATGTGATCCCCAACTGTTCAGCGCCTTGGGACATCCCCCCGACGTGAAAAGCGCTTTACAAATGTAATTTTGTTGTTGTTGTTGTCATCATCAGTATCTCACACTAGTGTCTACAGTCTAGTGTTTGCTTGTGGTACATATTGTATCTTTAACATTCAGCACTTTTGTGGTATGCACACGCTGAGACAAGTCCTTATTCGAGACCCTACACTCAAGAATATTAAATTAAATCATTATGCTGAATGTTAAAAGAGAAACCAACCAATTTGTTGCAATGCATTCTTGTATATTTGTTGGTGGCGAATCAATTCACAATGTACATTACTATTCTTATATAACAATGTTATAACCTAAGTAAGGGATTGAGACATTCAACCCATTCTGTGCTTACCAGATTCTGCAGTAGAAACATTCTTTGATAGCCCTTTAAAATAGTCCACACTGTCTAGAATTGAATCTCTACTATTTTCATTTTCATGCAGCAATGTTCCGTGTCCTAGGTCTGTGTCTTCCAACAACTGATCGATGTTGTGGTATGCTTGATGTAAGGCTTCCATGTCACTGTTGGTGTTGGTTTGTACGCAGGAAATACCTGAAAACAGTAAGGATTATTACACTGTACTTAGCTTCAAGAGACAATATGCAGGCTACTCCACTTAAGGGTAGTTTAAAAGAGTAAATTTTAATCCATGTCAATTTCTTCCGAATTATATTCCACAGCACAAAATTTCTGATCGCAGGAAGCATTTCCATATTGAAAGAAGACATTCTGAACAATACTCCATATGTTTGTCCTCATTAAGCTCGTCATCATGAAAAGTTTCTGTGAATCAACAACAAAACACCTCTTACTGCAACCGGATAAGGTGGTGGCAACAAGACACTGCTCCGAGCTAATTAAAACGTTTAATGGGATTAAATATATAAGCATAATGTGTATTAATTACTTATTATTTCCATTCTATGGTCCAAACCTGAAATTTGGTTATTTCAACAACAACAACATATTACATTGTAAAGTGCCTTTCATGTCGGGAGGACCTCCCAAGGCACTGGACAATCAATGTTTTGGACCCAAGCTGGGGGTCAGGATTGGAAAGGGTGGAGGGTAGGAGGGAAGGGAGGGTGACTAAAGGCATGGTCGAAGAGGAGGGTCTTGAGACAGGTCTTGAAGGAGGCAAGGGAGGGGTCAAGGCAGAGGGAGCGAGCAGGTTGGTAGGGGATTAGTAGGTCACAGAGGTAGGGGGGAGCAATGCCATGGATGGCTTTGAAAGTGACAACCAGGTTCTTGAACTGTACCCTGTGTAATGGGAAGCCAGTGGAGTCGGGTGAGGGTGATTGGGTCACGGACCCTGATGCGGAAGAGGACACAGGCTGCAGAGTTCTAGATAATCTGCAGCCCATGGAGGAAGGAGTTGGGGAGGCGACAAGCAGGGAGTTTGCGTAGTCGAGTCTGGATGTCATGAATGCGTGTATGAGGGTCTCGGCGGCCTGTGGTGTGAGACAGTGGCGGAGCCAGACAATGTTGCGGAGGTGAAGGTAGGCAGAGCGGGATATGGCACGGATGCGGGGTAGGAAGGATAGTTGAGGGTGAAACAAGACCCCAAGGTTCCGGACTGGCTTAGTAAGGTGGAGTATGCAACCATGGATGGTGATACTGTCAGTGCCTGAGGTGAGAAGGCGCTGACGGGAGCCAATGAGGAGAGCCTCAGTCTTGTTGATGTTCAACTGAAGAAAGTTAGTTCTCATTTGGGAATTTATGTCTGACAGACATTCTGTCAGGACAGCAGTGGTCCTGGAGTCGAGGGTGAAGGCAGAGAGATAGAGTTAGGTGTCATCCGTGTACATGTGGAAGTTGACCCCATGTCTGAAGATGATGTCACAAGAGGGAGCATATGGATATTGAAGAGGGGACCAAGGACAGAGCCCTGAGGAACGCCGCACGAGACAGTGCGGGGGCTACCGGAGAAGCCATTTGTGGAGATGAAGTGGTGACGATGTGAGAGATAGGATCTGAACCATTCAAGGACAGAGCCATGAAGCTTGAGGTGAGAGGCGAGGCGATGGAGGAGGATTGAGTGGTCAACAATATCGAAGGCAGCAGAGAGGTCAAGGAGGACGAGGAAGCAGAGGGAGCCCTGGTCACAGATGGCCAAATTTTATTTATCACTTTGATCAAAGCTGTTTCTGTGCTGTGGGCAGCAATGAAAGTGACGACCAGGATCTTGAACTGTATCCTCTGTGTGAAGGGAAGCCAGTGGAGTTGGGCAAGGATGGCGATGATAGGGGCACGGAGCCTGGTGCGGGAGAGGACACAGGCTGCAGAGTTCTGGATGATCTGCAGCCTATGGAGGGAGGAGTTGGGGAGGCCGACAAGCAGGGAGTTTGCGTAGTCCGTGAAGGGAGTGGAGAGAGAGGAAGGAGCGAAGCTGGGAAGCAACAACTCATTCCAGGACTTTGGAAAGGAAGGTTGGAGATGGGGCGGTAATTTGAGAGCAGTGATAGGTACAGGGGTTTTTTCGGAATAGGAGTGATGACGGATGTTTTTAAAGGGGTGAGAACGGTGCCATTGCACAGGGAGATATTTATGATCTCTGCGAGTAGGGGCCAAGGAGGTGGAGCTGGGAGGTATGGAGAGGGGTAGGGATGGGGTCTAGGGAGCAGGGGTCAGTTTCATATAGGTTATAGCGGTGGTGAGAGAGGAGGGGGAAGACAGGTTCGAAGGTGTGGAAGGAGCGATAGATAGGGGACGGGGTGTGAGGGGAGACGGGGAGTGTGTGATAGTCGGAAGGGCAGAGGCAGCTGAGCGTATCCCCTTGATTTTGGTTTCGAGGAAGTCCAGCATTTCCTCGTAGTTGGCGTTGGAGAGAGGATGGGCGAGGAGTGAGAGGGTGGCCGGAGGAGCCAGTTGGTGATGGAGAAGAGGAGCCTGGGGTTAACCTTGGCCTCCAAGATTGTCTTAGGAGTAGAAAGACGATTTAGCGGAGGCGAGGGTGGAGAGGTGCGTTTTGATAAGGTCCAGCCAGATCTGCCGATGGACTGTTAACTTAGATTTGAGCCAGATGCATTCGGCGGCACGCACCTGTGCCTTGAGGGAGAGGAGGTGACTGATGTAGCAGGATGACTTCCGTGAGTAGGAGGCGGTTCGGGAAGTGAGGGGAGCAAGGGCATTGAGAGTGCTGGAAAGGGAGTTGTGGAGGAGATTGATCGAGGAGGTTAGGTCATTGTGGGAGGAAACCCAGAGTGGGAGGAGTTCAGATTTCAGATGAATCCAAGGCATTGTAGGGGGGGGAGGGGGAAAGGGGGGTGGAGATGTTTTTTCCAGGGGCAATAGGAGACAGAAGTGGGTTGGGTGGCGTTGGAGAGAGGGATTGAGGAGTTGAGGGAGCTCAAGTAATAATCTGAGATGGCTTTGTCGGTGATGGTGAGGTCCGAGATACTGAGGCCCAGGGTAATCACCAAGTTAAGTGGGTGGCCATGGACGTGGCTGGCAAGGTTGATGTGGAGGGAGAGGTTGTGACAGGAGACAGAAGAGTCAGTGGAGATGGAGCAGGAGGGGGGTGAAGTGCAGGTTGAAGTCACCTAGGATGAGGGGGCGTTTGGAGCAGAGGGAGAGGGAAGATAGGAGAGTGGTACCTTTCCATAATGATATAATTGAAATCACAAACTCAGGATGTGCATAATCAGAGAAGTCAATATACATCTTCATACTTTGTAGCATTGTACAATGATCACCAACATGATCTGTTCCACCAGTGGATTTTTAAATAAATGAAGGTAAACCTTATTTACAGGATTGCAAATTTATCAGCAACTCTGCCCTCCACCTCGCTGTATCTCACAGCAAACCCGTGAAGACCACTGTGGAGTCCTGTAGCTCAGTGGTTAAGAGCACTCGCTTTGCAAGTGAGAGACCTGAGTTCAATTCCAGGCAGGGCGAAACCTTGGGCAAGTTTCCTTACTCCACACGCCTAATAATAATCCCTCCAAAAACAAAAACAATAATAAATTGGTCATTTTCAATCTACGACTGTTTGTGGGACACTGCTGTGCGCAATTGGCTGTCGCGTTCGCCCACAAATATAGTCAATTCACTTTACAGTGTCTTCTGTGAAGCGCTTTGGGACGTCCTCCCGACGTGAAAAGCGCTATATCAAATGCAAGGATTATTATTATTATTATTATTACATATACTTTCTCTGACTTGCTGCCTATAAATGAATCTGTTTGAATCTGCAAGGACACGATTTGTCACAATTTGAACTCACAATCTATGAATAAATGTAAAGATTATAAACTCAAACATAACTGGTTACAAATTTAAACCACTCTGTAACAAATAATTCAACTGCAATGGTTAGGAGTGGCAGTTCAAGTAGAAGGTTAGTTTATCAATTAAACAGTTTTGTGTGAGAAAGGTTAATGGAGTTATAAAAGTATAGGAACAGGAGTAGGCCATTCAGCCCTTCGAGCCTGTTCTGACATTAGTTAGATCATGCACCTCCAACTAATCTTTTCAATTCCAATTTTCCGCTTTCTCCCCATATCCCTCAATACCCTGACCTACCCAAAATCTATCAACCTCACTCTTAAGGTGTGGATGGATCCAGCATCCACGGCCTTTTAGAGAAGAGAATTCCAGACTTCTACCACCTTTTCAATGAAAAAATTCTTCCTGATTTCACTCTTAAATGGCCTGATTCTATTTTAAGACTATGTCCCTTGTTTTGGATTCCCCACCAGAGGAAATAGCTTCACTGTGTCTATCCTATCAAATCCCTTTATCATCTTAAATACTTCATCAAATCACCTCTCAAACTTCTAAACTCAAGGGAATACAATCCAAGTTTACGCAGCCTTTCCTCTTAACCCTTTTAGTTAAATTAATCCATTATTGAAGCAGGCAATCTGTACTGAATCATGGATGAATATGTCATTAAAATACTGGACTTCTTAAATTCAGCATTAAAATACTGGTCTATTAGCAGTAAATTGATGCAAATTAAATTATATTTAAACATTTTTTGGTGAACAACAACAACAAGATTACATTTGTATAGCGCCTTTCATGTCGGGAGGACGACCCAGTGTACAGCATTTCAGACGTGAGCTGGGGTCAGTGGAGGGAGAAGGAAGGGGAAGGGGGGTGGCCGATGGCATGGTCAAAGAGGATGGTTTTGAGGCGGGACTTGAAAGAGGCTAAGGAGGGGGTGAGGTGGAGTGATTGGGGGATGGAATTCCAGAGGTTGGGGGCAGAGTGGCTGAAGGTTCTCCCGCCAATGGTGGGTCGGGGGATGTAGAACAGGCCAGAGCCGGCTGAGCGGAGGGAATGGGTGGGTTGATAGGGGGTTAGGAGCTCGCAGATGTAGGGTGAGGCGAGGCCAGGGCTTTGTAGATGAGGACCAGGATTTTGAACTGGATCCTCTGAAGGATAGGGAGCCAATGGAGTCGGGCGAGAATGGGGGAGATGGGGTCACGGAGTTTGGTGCGGGAGAGGACACGGGCTGCAGAGTTGTGGATTATCTGCAGCCTGTGGAGGGAGGAGTTGGGAAGGCTGACAAGCAGGGAGTTTGCATATAGTCGAGCCTGGAGGTGATGAAGGCATGAACAAGAGTTTCAGCGGCCTGAGGGGTGAGGTAGTGGCGGAGTCGGGCGATGTTACGGAGGTGAGGGAAGGCAGAGTGGGTCATGGCTTGGATTGGAGGAGAAAAGACAGTTGAGGGTTGAACAAGACACTCAGGTTCCTGACTGGCTGGTGAGTTGCAGTGAGCAACCATGAAGGTTGATGTTGCCAGAGCCTGAGGTGCTGAGGCGCTGGCGTGAGCTAATCAGGAGGGCCTCAGTCTTGTTGACATTCGACTGCAGGAAATTTGCCCTCATCCAGGACTTGATGTCCGACAGGCAGTCTGTCAGGACAGCAGTGGTCCTGGAGTTGAGGGTGAAGGCAGAAAGATAGAGTTGGGTGTCATCCGTATACATGTGGAAGTTGACCCCATGTCTGCGGATGATGTCACCAAAGGGGAGCATGTGGATAATAAAGGGGAGAGGGCCAAGGACAGAGCCCTGGGGGACCCCAGATGTGACAGTGCGGGGGCTGGAGGAGAAACCGTTAGAGGCAACAAAGTGGAGACGGTGAGAGAGATAGGAATCGAACCAGGCAAGGGCAGGTCTGCGAAGATTAAGTAAGGAGGAGAGTATTGCTAACATGTCTGTTCCAGTGGCTAGATTGCAAAATTTATATTAAATTCATATTATTAGCTGTCACTTCCTGAAGCAAATCATTAGTGGAAAACTGGATGCTAACAAAAAAGGTTTGGTGCTTAAGGCCTGATTACATTATTAAAATTATTACATTATTAAAAACTAATAAAATAGATGTTAGGTTATACTCAAAGTAGAGGGGGGTCAGCCGTCGTATTGGCATTTCCAATGCTTGGGCTGACCCATGCCTAGACTTCCACGTTTTACAGGGAGAAACAGAGTGGTCAAGACATATCCAGAAGCTGCATGTGATCAATTAAAGTACTTTAAAGATGATTAATACACATTACCAAGTTATCAGCACAAGATTGTAAGAGAGGTTCATATGAAGAATCCACTAGGCCCCATTTGATCTTATCCTTTCAGAATATCCACCATATAATCATCCCATTTTAACATTAAGATTTTTTTAAAAATGAGTCCAATGCACTGGCCTTCATCCCTTTCCTGCTAGCTGTTCCACTAGTTAATTACCCGGCAGATAAACAACAACAACAACAACAACAAGATTCCATTTATAAAGCGCCTTTCACGTCAGGAGGACGTCCCAAGGCGCTGCACAGTTGGGTCATAAAGAAATACTACCTGGTGTCTGTCCTGAAATTGTCCTTTGCACCCCTAAACCTGTGTCTTCTTGTTCTTCTGTCTCTGTGCATTCAAAAGTATTATTTACTTTATCATTCCCATTTATAAACTTATATCTTTGTGATGTCCCCTCTGAGACATCTCCTTTCTAGATAAGAACAAAATTACATTCATATAGCAACTTTCACCTCGATAGGACATCCCAAGGTGTTGAAAGACCAAAGAGCCCTCGCTTGTCCATTGTAAACGTTGTTCATAGCTCATCATCTAATACTGGAGATATCCTCATTGCTCTCCTCTGTACTCTCACCAGGACATGGGAAGCAGTATTCTAGGTGTGGCCTAAGCAGAGTACTATACAGCCCAAGCACGGTGGATGTGATGGAAGAATGGATCAGGATCTCGGTGGCCTAAAGGGAGAGGTAGCAATGGAGACAGGCAATGTTGCAGAGTTGGGGGAAGGCTGAATGGGTCAACACATGGATGTGGGATTCAAAGAGTTGAGGGTCGAACAAGGTACCTAGCTTCTGTACTGGCTCAGTGAAATGGAGAGTGCATCCATGAATAGTGATGCTGCCAGTGAATGAGGTGTAGAGGCACTGACGGGAGCCAAGCAGGAGGGCCTCAGTCTTGTTGACGTTCAGCTGTAGAAAGTTCGCTCTTATCCAGTACTTGATGTCTGACAGACACTCTGTCAGGACAGCAGTGATCCTGGAATTGAGCATGCAGGCAGAGATAGAGTTGGGTGTCATCTGCATACATATGGAAATTAACCCCATACCTGCAGATGCTATCACCAAGCAGGAGCATGTAGATATTAAAGAGGAGAGGACCAAGGACAGTGTTCTGAGGAATGCCGCATGGCGCGAGGGCTGGAGGAGAAGCTGTTAGTGGATACAATGTGAAGACGATGGGAAAGGTAAGAATGAAACCAGGAAAGGACAGAGCCGTGAAGGTGGAGCTGAGAGGAGAAGCAGTGGAGAAGAATAGAGTGGTCAACAGTGTTGAAGGCGGCAGAGAAATCAAGAAACATGAGGAGGCAGAGAGATCCCTGGTCACAGATGAACAGAATGTCATTTGTGACTGACGAAAACAGTCTGTATTGGTGAATGAGGAGTCTATTAATATCTCTACACTTTTCAGTTTCCCGTCTTGGCAATTTCTATTTTATCCATGTAGTACCTTGGATTTTTACCTGCATCACTTGCTTCCTGAGCATGCTGCTCCTCCAAAAAGAAAAGTGTGTTGGCCTCTTTTAGAAAGATAATAATAATAATCCTTGCATTTAATATTGCGCTTTTCACGATAATAATGACATGCATGAGAACAAGGAGAGCTAAGTACCTAATGACAAACATGCTTTTCATTTTTACCAACAAGAAGGCATTTGAGGATTTCTATGTGCTCTTAAAACTCCTTCCTCCTCTATTCCAAAAACAGAATATGTCCTATTTTTTGTCTGACATTAAGAACTCAAGTAGCTAAACCCAGTAGTACCTGTTGTATGTATGCCAGTGTGGCAGATGCTGTGAAAATTAGATATGAATTAGATACAATGTGGATTAGATATGAACTGCGTTACTGCTGTGAGTGCTCTACAATACACGAATACAACAGAGAATAAAAGTCAGAAAATAAAAAAAAGAGTAATTCATGAATGTAAAAGTAGGAAATGAGAAAAGTTTTTTTTAATGCGGGAGAGGAATCCCAAGTGCAAACAACTGTTGCGTACTCTATTATACAACATTTATTAGTTTTATCATGATATAGAAAACTATTTCCGTTCTTCTTCCAAGCTGCAGTCTTTCTATCTTAAGCATGCACACATAATGGAAGATTAAATTAGATCCATTAACTAAATTAAAATTTCTTTTCAAACCAAACACTAATACAAGCCAAATGCCACATACATAACTCGGAAAGCATAACTGTGGCATTATTTGAGGTTTCCGAATATTTCAGTTATGATCTATGTTTAGACCTCATGTTTTATTTCCAACTGCCATAAAAACCGTTCCATCAAACACTAAAAAACAGCCGATTTTGTTCACAAAATGTACTTGGTTTTATAATTTAAACAGAAATTGCACTTAATAACCTTCAGTCAGCTTGCAGCAATTTATTTGTCGGAACCCATGTTGGCAATTTGTTGATTTGGTACAAGACTCCAGATGTAAACAAAATCCTCTCACCAATTATTTTAAAAGTTTGCAATTATCCACAACTGATGTATATCTCAATTCAGAAAGTGATACTCAGCAGGCCAAAAGCTGTTCAATGTTCCAAGTTCAGATAAAAAATAAGTGGGAGAATTGTTTTTTAATAAATACACTGCAAATTTGTCTGAAACTGGTATCCAGGTTGATGGATTTGATTAATGATTTTTTTGCATAAATGAATTTGCAATAGGCTTTTAAAAAGAGCCGTGCTCCTAAATTATCAGCATTTTACCAATAATTCCATAACTTTTAAAAATATATATTTTGCAGTTAAAATTGCAGAAACCCCCAAATTATCAGGGAAGCTTTTTATTTCTGATCTAATACCAAATTTCCCCAGCCAAAAAATGTGCTCAGGCATGAAACTGTGGAAAAATTGAATAACATGTCACAGGAGTTACTTGAGCTAGAAATAACAATGCCTTTGAAATGTCACTACTCCAGTCTTCAGGAAAGAAGATAACAAGAGTAGGATATTGGAAGGAATGAAAAGACAAACACTCAAACATACTTGTAGTTGGACACTAAGGAAAGACCATTATCATTCATCACTTACCTGTGCCAGACATTTGCAAAGAAATGCCTTGCTGCGCCTGTTTTTCATCGTTTATAATTTTGTTTGCTGGTTTATCTTCCTCAAACTGCAATAACTTTTGTGTATCCAGGGTTGAATCTTGTGAGTCCAGTAGCACAACTGTAATTATAAATGTGGATATTTCAACTTTGCAGAAAAATCCCATTTAAACTTGATCCAAAAGCAATTTCAGTATATTGCACCTGCTCATTTCTTAGCGATACATTTTCACTACAATTCTTCTCTCGTCACAAAACACGCGAAAGTTTCAGAATAGCTGCCCTCTGATAATAATATTGGTCCTTACATTTAATATAACAACTTTTACATCAGGGGAGGGAGGTCTCAAAGCACTTCACAAGATATATTGTAAAGTGTAGCGATTATATTTTTCTTGCAAACTAAGTTATACAGACCAGAAGGCTGTTTGTTTGATTTTACTCACTATGTTAAGGTGGTATTTTGTTGATTATGTCACAAAGGGATTACTGGCTTGAAACATTTATGCTTTCATTTTGCATTCTACTAGGATAGAATTAATCTATTTAAATCCATGTAGCTCACGGTATTATCCAATAGTCAGCATTTGATGATAAAACATGGATTAGTAAATCAATGTACGGGTTTTAAACACCAAAAGCAATTTTATTTCTACTGCTTTGCACTAATGAACAAAACTGGTGATGTAGTAATAAAACAATGCTAAATTTATTTTTTTCCAAAACAATCTATTTGAAACACAAACCTGGATGACTAGATTCTGATACTAGAACTATAATTATAACAAAAATATTACGTTATCTAGAAGGGTGTCAATGTGTACAGTAATTTACTCAATGGTGTAATAAATAAAATTGCAAAACAGACAATAGTGTAATTAACTGATATGCACATATATAATTAACCGATAGAAATTAAATACCTTTGGCCAGCATTCCACATTCTGCTCCCTAAAAATAAAATCAGATGAATTTCAACAGATTATATAGGAGAATAAAATTCTGTAAGTATAGAGCAATATTATCTCTGAAAACCGTCCTTTAATTCTAGATTCATTTGTTAAAGATGAGCAATTAGGTTGTCTGCATTTCTTTTTGGTTAGGGAATGATCCTGTTCCAGGGAGGTGTATAAAATAATGGAGGGGGTGGAGGAGTGAATAAATAATAAAATGAAAAGACGTTAACCATGACCAGAAAAATAAATCTTAACTATGGCAAACCGGCGATTGGGAGCAGAGCAGCAAGGTCAGAGACTAAATGATTAATTGAGAATCTGGATTTGAAGACAGCATATAGGCAATAAACTGAACAACATGTAGCTGAATAGTCAATTCCTTTTAATAGTACTTTACATACAGGAATTCTTCCAAAGCGCCAAAGGAACTAAGTACAAGACAATTTATCATATAAACCCAGTAATCACGCGGACACTATTCCAGAGATTACATAATCTAATAATTAAGATAAATTAAAAATGGTCCACTGTACTCAGGAAACCAGTCATAAAAAGTACTTCCAGAAGATTATAAAAAAACTCAAATTATACCTACTCACCCTCGAAAGTATGTGCAATTACCTCCAAAACAGTGCTCAGTTATACCCTTACTTCGCCAGTTCGAAATTCTGGTCTGACCATATGCTTTTCTAACTTTTAACTGTTGCTTGCTCTGCACTCCACCATCAGTGGCAAGACTATTCACAAGTGTCCCCCTCACTTCCAAAACCACTTTGCCTTGCTCCCTGCCTTCAAGATTCTCCTAAATACATCTTTTTTAATAATGCCTTTGGTCAACATCTTTAAAACTCATTTCTCTGCTTAGTGTCCACCATTACATTTACCAAGTATTTTGAAACAGTCTTGTACATAAAAGATGCTTATGTAAATGCATGTTGTTATAATATTAGCACTGCGATGTAATGCACAACTTTATAGCTATTACCTCTTTATCAGACATCATTTCATTGGTATGAGATTTAACTTCATCCTTTTCCAGAATATGTTCAATGTTGGCTTCATTATCTGATCCAAACTCTTCATCTTCAATCTTGACACCATAATTATCTTCAAAATCATCACTGTAGTGTTTTGAAGCTGAAATCCAGAGTGTGATACATCATTAACTCTACACACATGTTTAAAATCAGTTTGGGTTACAACATCAGAGATTTACCAACAAGTAAGCTAACTTGGTAGCTGAGATTTGACTTGGTCATTTGCTCCCTGTACCCATCCTAAAAACAAGCATGTTTTCTAAAATTATTTCAATCCTACTATACCTAAAGTGATTGGGAGAACTAGAGTAATGGTAAACTTCCTAAACAGAACAAATAGACTTTACATACAGGAATTCTTCCAAAGCGCCAAAGGAACTAAGTACAAGACAATTTATCATATAAACCCAGTAATCACGCGGACACTATTCCAGAGAGACTAAAGACTAGGGGGACTGAGAGTGAAATATCACAATGACACAAATGGAAATGGCAAAATGACACCAAGCTCCTTTAAACTGGTGAATTGGTTGCCTTGGTGTTAAACTGTACTTCCAATCTCAACTCTACGATACTTGTCAAAAAATATAAAATATCATCTCATTAGCTTTTCCCCTGACCTCATGTCACCAACAGACATTTCTGCAACTTAGAATGTTGTTTTTCAGTGGACAATAAAGTCTGTTTGAATAAAATTTCAGTAAAACACAAAAGTAACCAATGCGTTGAAAGAGAGAAAAAAAAGTCATCTTTTTCATTAAAATCAACCCTCATTCACACTGCAAGATATTATTGTATATCCTCCTTGAAATTGATTAGAGTTTTGGTCTAATTTGACATTGCCGCTGAAGAGTCCAGGAGAAAGAAATATTAATTGGTACAAAGCTCTAAAATGATGACAGATCTGCAAATTGTTCAGAAAAATTACTAATGAAGCAAAATTGCTGTTTTTGACTAAGCTCCAAACATAATCATACGTGATCTGGTAGAAACATAGTGTAATGGATAATCAATCAATACCAGACTCAGAATGTACCTTTACCTGCATACCATTTAGAACTTAAAATTATTTTCTAACAATTTAAAAAAAATACCAGCTGAATCAAATTGTATGTCCCAAATTTTACCCAGGTGCGCTTCATGCTGTTACCGTATTCTATTATTTATCACAAAACTTGAGCAAAACTCTACCTGCTTTAGGTCTGGACTGCTCCTCCTTGAGGTCCTGATCTGCTGAACATTGTGTTCCTTTCTAGAAGAGACGGCAAAAGGTAAACTTCATAACTGAAACATCTATCAGAGAATCAGTACTGTACCCACTGTTCTCTATCAGTAGATGTTTCACTGGACATACTTATAAAGCAACAATTTTACATCATACAGCACGCTTCATGTCCAGAGGATGTCTCAAAGCGCTTGATAGAGCTGACTGGGCGTGTGGGAGGTGAGGAAGCTGGCGGGAAGAAAGTTACCTAAAAGCTCAGTTGAAAAGAAAGATCTGCACTCTGTATGTTTCAACACAACATCTTCAATTCTAAAAGGAAACAGCAAGATTCTGAAATCATACAAAGTTATTTTTGAACTGGAGCTTTGCAATCATCTCATTGAACTGGTTCAGTTGATTTAATCCTCAATCTGTGTAACATAGAATTTCATATTCTGAATTACATCATCACAATATCATGTTACAATATCACAATATCCTTCAAATAAATAGGTCACAATCCTTGCTGAATGGAAAGCTCTCGAATTGGAGCTGAATAAAAAAAATTTCAAACCAGATGGAAGTCTAGGACTGCAAAATGATATGTGCTATATAGAAAAACATTAACTAAATCTATAGATTCAAACCAAGTCAAGTTGTTTTCGGAAGCACGGAAAGTTGCAAAAATTACATCGAGTACAAATAGGTAAGAGATTTCCAATCTCCTGATGCATATAGTACAAAATCAAATTACAGTTTACTCCGATGTGAACAAGGGAGAGAGCTGTAAGGGGCTAACCGTGTTTAAAATAACTGCTCTACAAACAAGAGATATGTGATGTTCACTGCTGGTATTGCGTGCAGATAGATTTAATTGAAAGTGAATAATAAGGTAAAAGTACTGTTCTTATGTTTTAAATTGAGATTTGGTTGAAAACCTTGTAATTCTGATGGTCCTGCTCCAGGCATAGTTTTGAAGTAGCCAGAAAACTTATCACATTTCTTTTGATATTGAATAGGATGAACAACAACAACAACAATATTCCATTTATAGAGCGCCTTTCACATCGGGAGGACGTCCGAAGGCGCTGAACCAAAGCATGCAATAAATCAGTGCCATCAAGCTGAATAATTGTGCAGAACTGGACAGTACAGAAACTAGAAGCCAGCAGTGGGTTTTATTTGCAGCTGTCAAAGATGCAATGCAGCATTCCACCAATAGGCAGACAATACTTGTTAGTATCATATGCTGTATGAAAGAAGATGAATTCAAATGAAATGTACATAGAAAATTATACAATAACAAAAAGATGATACTAAAACTTTTATTTTATATTTAGGAGAGTAAATATATTAATGTCATATTTCCTTAATTTCTTCATCCTCAATCTGTGTAACTATTGTGGTTACCAAATAACCACATCATTGAAAGGACAGATCCAATTGATCTATAAGCCGGGGCATGAAAACCTGTTCAATAATAAGAGAAGGAATTTCAAACATCCCTGTAAGATTTAGCATATCTCACATCTTTATGTACCTCTTTACGTCTTCTACTTATGTTCATTATCAAGTCAGCGCCAATGCAAGTGACACCGGTGACAAATGGAAGATTTTTTTAAGTGTATGAAAACATGGTGAATGTTTTAATGAGGTATATTATACAATACAATAGTTAAATTGGCATTAAAGTGCCTTTCACATCAGAAGGACCCAAAGCACTTAACAGTAATATCTACCCCCTGAGCTGGGTAACCAAGGGGGAAAAGGAGGAGAATAATAAACAAAAGTGTGGTCCAACAGTGCTATATACCAAACACAAGGATTATTATGATTATTTTAGAAGTTAATTTGCATCTATAGCAAAGCAAGCAATAGACTAGAGCAAATTCAATATTTTTTTAAACTTTTTAGATTTTTCTAAACCAAAATTGCCATTGATGAGGAAAAAATATTTATCTTACTGATTTAAAGCAGACAATGGTGTTGTATTGGTTTGTTCAAGTTCTTGATTAAGCCTCGAGTAGTCAATAGTGGAAGAAACTCCCCTCTCAAGATTAGCAAAGAACTGTTCTTTCTGCTCTTGTTCTTCCAATGTATCCAGCCCAAGTCCATGAGTATTTTGCTCAGGTCCTGATGCCACAATAGACTCTAAGGACAAAGAATATAATTTCCTTTCAACTTTGATAACATATAAACATTTACAAGGCTATCAGACAGCAGATACAATATATTATAGACACAATAATAACTGTATTTTATAAATACATTAGAAAGGGGTAAATTATAACTGATGAGATTTAAGACAAAATATTGTTAAACCTTGATAAAAGGCTGAAAAACTGTTTCAATCCATTTTGAATAGTTACTGAATTTGAATCACAGATTTTACACCAGGCTAAAATAGGGATCGAATACATTTGGAGGAAATAATGACAATAACTTGTCACATAATTAGACAAACTAATTTTATAGCAGGTTGTTTTTCTCTTACAAATTTGGTAGCAGCTAGGCACAACAATATTGTAAAATGTACAGTGCAGGATAATGTCTTTCTATATTGCCACATTTTTCCCACAAAATACAGTCAGTTCACTTTACAACATATTTTGTGAAGAGCTTTGAGACATCGCAACGATGTATTAAGGATCTATATCAAATGCAAGGATTATTATTATATTAATTACCTCTTGGGAAAGGTATTTAAATAAAAGCATTCTCATTTCCTTCTCCTCATTTCCAAATTATTTTCTTATAACAAACATTTGTACCAAAAACATTTCTCACCATTCGGCTCAAGACTGTCTTTGCTGATGGACACAGATGTCCTCTTGCCTTCCTTATCCAGAGTTATCTTCTCGTGTTCTTCTTCAACCTCTGCAATAGGTTGGGAGGTCTTACTGGATTTGAGAAAGCTCCTATTGGATTCCAGCAAACCTATAATTTACACATAAACACAGTAATAAAGCATATATGGTTTAGGAATACAATTGGGAAATGGTAAAACACGTATTTTTACTTGTGTCACCTTTAAATGATGCTGATCATTTACACTCCTATATGATTCTTAAATAGTCCCCCTGAATGATGGTTTAGAAGGTTCAACTTCTCTTATCAGACACATATGGGAAATCTGTTTGTGGCGTGTTGTATTTAAAACAATAGTTGCTCTCGACAAATGAAAACAAGCTGGGGAGTGGGGGGTAGTGGAGTGTTAATCATTACATACAGAAAAAANCGAACAAAACAATCAGTAGTTAACATTGGCTGTTACACCTCCTGCCTCCACTCACCCGATTTCAGCAAATTATTGGGTCTGAAGCCAGCTCAACAATTTCTAACCATTTTTATTTGATTGAGGTTCAAGACCACCATTATTGTCAATCACAGAACACATTGTTGCTTCACGAGATCATGGCTTGGCATGAAGGAGCAGTACAATACAGGCCCAGTCACAAAAATGGTATGTTTTTCTCCATAGCAGCACACCCTTCACAAAGTTCACGAACAGACCAAATGCCAAAAGTTACTTTCAATCCAGAAAGGTACTTGCTGATCCTAAAACTACTGATAAAAACTGCCTTCTCAGTAATTGTATATGGCACCCGTCATTTTCTTCTTTCCATTATGCGCACTTGAATATTTACTAACTTAGTCTAAAATCTGATGCTGTCATCCTTTAGGGAACCCTCAAGCAGAATTTGAGCTATTGGTCCAATCTTCTCAAACATAAAATTGTATCGAATCGATCAAAACTGTAAACTAGACACATATCAAAACATATTAAAATGATTAAAAGTATATCCTAATCAATCAATCTTTACATTGACAGTATATTTTAAGAAAAGGAATGTCATGTTAAACAAGAAATAAATAATTATACTTAGTCACTCAAAAGCAATTACTCTGTTACAAAGCAATCCTGAGAAACGGAAAGTAAACAACAGAGATTGCTAAGCAATAAATTGCAAAAGCAGCAAAACCAGTTCATCTTCTTCATAACAGTACCATCACCACCACCGTTTGGTGGTTTAATTGAGATATCACTGGCCAGAAAATGGTTCAGCATTGCATCGGCACACATTTGAGGTGCAGTGTGGGTCACATGTAACAGGGAATGGAAGTTATTAAGATAGGCCACAATAATACATTCAAAGTGATTCATTTGTTTTACTTCCTAACTGATATTTTTAATATTGAACATTACTTGAGAGAATAGTTTTCAATGAAATCTCACTCTCTAACAATTGCAATCATTTAATGTTCCAAACATTTATAACCTACAGAATAATCAATGTCACAAAATGCCTACAAAGCAATAATCTAATTAAGAGTACCGTTGCCAAGATTAGACCACAGTGGTAAGAATCCCTCATGCATATTTAGAAAGTAAACTCATTTTGATTTTACATAGTGGTGTTTTTACGTTTTTATTCTGTTTCTGGCCATTTTGGTGCCAGCACTGGGCTAATAATGTGATTTCCGTAAACATGTGTAAACATGTAGTGTAAATTTCAGGTGCCTGTAAGAGTTATCTGTTTGGAACCATTTCCCTGCCTTTCCCCTGTTATAATTTGTCTTATCAGATGTTTGAAACCTTTTAAAAGCTATTAAGGATTCTGCTTCAACCACTGTTATAGTAGGGTATTCCATGACCTAATCTCACTTTGTTTTTTGTGGTAATAATCTTAAATTTATGTCCACTAGTTATCAAATCACTAACTATATTTATCTTATGAGAGCCCATCATAATTTTGATTGTGGCAGGATTACTGAAATAATATGCAGTTTATTCCCAATGAATTCATCTTCCAGTCAACATCAAACAACATTAAGTCTCAATTACCATCAACACTCTTGTAGGTGCCTTCACCATCAGAAACATTGCTTTCCTCTTGCACATTCGCAGTCGTTTCTTTCCTAGTTTTGTAAAAATGTTCCAGTTCACTGAACCTTTCCAGTGCTTTGCTACGGGGTTTGGGGATAGGTTTGGGTGGAGTTACTTGTAGGTATTTGTGACGATAGGAACGAGAGAATGGTAAGGAAGGAAATTTTATAAAGAAATTTTTTTGAAAAATAAACAGAAATGTAAAAGTTAGAAAGCAAAAGATTTAATGATTTTAATGCAATAATAAAGAAAATAAACAGTAGAAAAGGACAAAATATGCAATATATCGTTGACCTATTAAGCATAATCCAGTATTCAAAGAGAACGCCATTATTAACTACGAAGAATAAATTAAAAGGATATCTATTTATGTCAGAGCTGTTGATTTAACAAGTGAAGATTTATCGCACATTTGGGGTGAAGACCAAACAAACCTGAAGCACGGTGAAATCAATTTTCCTTCCTCATCTTAAATAACCATTGTTTTATTAAATCGGTAACAAATCAATGTTGAATCCTAGAAAGGTTATGTACAATTAAGGTCCAACGTAGCAAGCTTCCTTTGTGCATCACCATTTTAAGAATCATTTGTGACTGACAGAGGGTGAAGCATTCCTCCAGTGGCCCATAAACCACACGTACATAAACATGAATCAAGTGCATACAACTGCACCCAATTACCATTTTTTTAAAAAAGTGGTTAAACAAGGATAACTTTGTCTGAATCTTGCTGCAAAATTTGTACTTATGTTCCTGGACATGTATTTTTTACTCACTGGAGCTTCAATAATTTATATCAATTGTTTCAATTGCTGAACACTAATGGGGAGAAATTCTACATGGATCAAGATTCACTCTATGTAGTGAGAGAGTCCAGTATTTGGCAAATTGTTGAATTCAATCTCAACACAGAAATTAGTTTTCTGTAATTCTTAAAATAATTTACTAGAAAACCCACTTCAACATTAAGCCTGTGTTTAAGAATCTGCCAAATTTTGGATACTCTGGAATCCTACGTTAATAGATCTAGGAAGAATTTCTTCCCATGTAGCCAGATGAATCTGAATCTGATTATATTTAAAAAATTATATAAATACCCTCCTGTGACCCAGGATTTTCAGACAATAAATTCCCATCACTCTCTTCAACAATTTCTTCCCTCGTTGTTTCAATCCCAGGATCAACAACTGCTGCCTGCTTTTTCAATTTGGAGAATTTCCGGGGCTGGGGCTCTTAGATAAAGAAGATAAAAAGCATGCTTAGAAGTGTGAAGAGTGGAAAGGGAAAGCAAACCAATGAGAGTAAACGCTAAGAATCAAAGCAACAGCCAAGCAGAAAAGCCAAGGTTTTAATGGTCTCTGTTCACAGAAATGGAAGCAAAATGAAAAATATACAACTATTTGAATGGATTAATGCATTTGCACCAAAGCACTTTGAAACCTAAGCACTGACACTATGCTACCCACTTGTGGTCAATAAATCAGGAAACAAATGCCACCTTGAATTGGGTAAGGAAAGCAGCAACTTACGCCCTTCATCGCCATCACTGATCCACCATAGATTTGCATCCTTTTTGATTTCCTTCTTCTTCTTAGGCTGCCCAAGACAACTCAGAACACTAGATTTCGTCGAACTCCCTAAATCAACAGACTCATCTGAAATAGACTAGAATATGTTCATGGTACAGTCAGTAATCAGAATAAAAACGGACTTTATTCTTCAACAAAAGGTTTTGATTTCTTAGCTTTCTTGAGATTTTGATTTCTTTAAAAATGAAAATTGTGGTTTGGGTGGAAAGGACAAGAATTGGGGATTGGCTTAACAAATATTTTTCAGCATCCAAAAGTATGTCACACATTCCAAAAGGAAACAACAACAACGAAATTACATTTGCAAAGCTCCTTTCATGTTGGGAGGACGTCCCAAGGCGCTGGACAGACAGAGTTATATACCCGAGCTGGGGGTTGGGGTCGGGGAGGGTGGAGGACAGAGGGGGAAGCAGGGAGATCGAAAGCACAGTCGAAGAGGAGGGTCTTGAAGGTGGCGAGGGAGGGGGCGAGACAGAGGGACTGCGGGATGGAGTTCCAGAGGGTGGGGGCAGACTGCTGGAAGGCCCGCCCGCCAATAGTGGGGCGAGCGAGGCAGGGGACATGAAGCAGGCCGGAGCCCGCTGAGCGGAAGGAGCGAGCAGGATGGTAGAGAGTTAGGAGGTCGCAGAGGTAGGCGGGAGCAAGACTGTGGAGAGCTTTAAAAGTGAGGACCAGGATCTTGAACTGTATCCTCTGTGTGATGGGAAGCCAGTAGAGTTGGGCGAGGATGGGAGTGATAGGATCGCGGAGCCTGGTGGGGGAGAGGACACAGGCTGCAGAGTTCTGGATGCTCTGCAGCCTGTGGAGGGAGGAGTTGGGGAGGCCAATAAGCAATGAGTTTGCATTGTCGAGCCTTGATATAATGAAAGCGTGTATGAGGGAAAGGACTGAAGTAACATTTGTACAAGGTTAGATTTTATGTGAACCTGGAAGGAAGGAGTATGTAGTCGATAGAGGGGCTGAAATATTGAAATGCGGCGGGGGTGGGGGTACTTAGTGGGATGCTTCAGAAGTCGATGCTAGAACTCCTCTTGTTCTTTGCATACATATACAAATGTGTACTGATCATTGGTAAGTGACATTTATTAAAGATATATACAAGATACTTTTCAAGTTAATTCTAAAAGAAGAAAACACGGTTTAAAAAACAGAATTTGACTGCTGTCCAGAATACAATCGTCAGTAATGACACCTTAACAACAACAACAAAATTACATTCATAGAGCACCTTTCACATCGGGAGGACGTCCCGAAGAGCTGAACAGTCAGGTTTCGGGGCCCGAGCATGGGGGAGGGGTGGTGTAGGGGTGAGGGAAGACAGAGAGGGGGGAGGGAGACCAAAGGCACGATCGAAGGGTCTTGAGACCGGCCTTGAACACTGTAAAAAGCCAAATCCCAATTTAGTTCAGTTCAGTATCTGAATTCGCTTCATACCCATGGCACAGTGCTGGATGGAGTCTTCTATTCTGAGCAGAGATTGTCTCATAGACATAATTCCTCATCTCTGCTATGAGGGTTTTCTGTAAGATAATCACTCACTTCTAGAGAGAGGCGAGAGTCACCTCATTTAACCAAAAACAATAAAGCATACTGTATCTGAACTATATACAATTATAACTAACTAATGATATTTAAATGCACATTTATGGGAAATGTCTGCTAAATAAACAAAATACTTAATGAACATCACTGTACTTATTCCATTCATGAGGAATGACCTAAGCAATTTCTCAGTCAATCATCTTTATCACTTATGGAATAAATTTATATTTCACCATTCTTTAAGTACCATATTATTTTGTGCCGCATTTGTGCCCACAAAATATACAGTCAATTCACTTTACAGTATATTCTGTGAAGCGCTTTGAGACATCTAGAAAACGTGATAAGGCGCCATACAAGTTCAAGTATTATTATTATGTACTAACTGCAGTCTATGAAATAGACTGTTTGTTGTTGTTATGAAATACAACAATAACAACAGCTTGCATTTAAGTGATTTTGCACTGTAACAAAGAGATGGATTGTACAAAATAGCACAAACATATTGCAGTAAAATTCATCTTGATCAAATCAGGGTTCTACTTGAGTAAACATACTGCACCTCTTTCAAGAACTGTTCAAACTGCTCATCTATCTCCTCATTGGTAAGCTTGTGAGACATGCTGCAAGACTTGTTACGAACTCTTAAGACCTTTTGGAGAAGAGATCTAGAACAAGAAAACAGAGTAAGAGCGTGGAAGTACAGTGGCTTGTTATACATATATCACAGGTTGAGAAGACGTAATTAGTCTGGCCAGTGTTGACTAAATAAATGTGTCTTCCAACCAATTAGAAACACCAAGCTGATTTCAGGTAGAGTGGTTGGACACAGGCTTTCCTCTTGGTAAAGCATGTGTCATACTTTTTTTAACTATAGTAATATTGTTATGAGGACAACCCGGTTGGAAGAGCCAGTATTTATTATCCATCAGTTTGTGTAACGTCCTTGTGTACCGGGACTTCTCCAAAAAGGCGATCAGGATGGAATCAGCGTTTCCATGACACTCTCAAACACCTCCTAACCAATGACCACCATCATAACAGCAGGTTGCCTTCTTGCCGTCAAGTCATCGAGATGTCTTTAAGCGCTTCACAGAATATATTAAAAACTGACTTTGTTTACGTGGGTGAAACACGGCAGCCAATTGCGCAGAGCAACGTCCCACAGTGCAAGGGATTATATTACCCCCTGAAAGCGATCAGGCAATTGACTAACGACCAGGTCCCTACTTACTGCTATGTAAACAGGCGCGTGGAGTAAGCAAACTTGTCTTGAGGTTTCTCCGAAACCTCCGGGTGTGTTCTGGCTTGCGAGGCGAGCACGCTAACTAACACGCTACATCGTCGGCGCAATATTACCTTTCTGAAATAAAACATATGAAGTCCACGCTGCGTTAAGCAGAGCAGCATCCAGAGAGGTGGAGGGCTTTTTTGGAAAAAAAGAAGTGGGGAAAAAAGGACAAGTTACGCACCGGGGCAGGAATGGATTGAACTGTACTGTGCGGGGTTAGAGGCACCCACTCCTCAGGCATGGCTTGTTGCTGTGGGGCTGTGCTGTGGCTGTGGGGGCTATTGCTGTGGGGTTGTGCTGTGGCTATGGCTGTGGGGCTGTGCTGTTGCTGTGGGGCTGTGCTGTGGGGTTGTGCTGTGGCTATGGCTGTGGGGCTGTGCTGTGGGGCTGTGCTATGGGGTTGTGCTGTGGCTATGGCTGTGGAGCTGTGCTGTGGGGTTGTGCTGTGGCTATGGCTGTGGAGCTGTGCTGTGGGGCTGTGCTATGGGGTTGTGCTGTGGCTATGGCTGTGGGGCTGTGCTGTTGCTGTGGAGCTGTGCTGTGGGGCTGATGCTGTGATGTGGCTATGGTTGTGGGGCTGTGCTGTGGCTATGGCTGTGCTGTGGGGTCTCCTCTCCCACAGCTCTCAGTGTGAGACGGTTCCGGCTCTCACACTGCCCACACCAGCCCCGCCCCCGGCGCCGCCCGCGCGCTCTCCCGCCACCTGCGTCACAGACGCACCTCGTCCCGACTGGCGGAGCGGAGGGGTCATGGGCGGGGTCTGATTCTTGACCGACGACCGCGTCCGGCCACTCAGGGCTCGCTCGCGCGCGCCCGTCAATCAGCCGCGCTTCGCGCCAATCGCCGCCCAGCGGAGGCGGGGCTTGGAAGAGCTTTGACGCGAGGCGCGCGGGGGGGCAGTCACCTGCTCTTACCTCCCACTGTAACATCTGAGGCCGTAAAGAGACGGCGTGAGGCCCCGGGGAGGGTGGCTCAGGGATGCCGGGATTAGAGAGGATCAGGCGGGGCGGGGCGGGGAGGCGGCTGCTCTGCCGCTTGCCCTGGTGGTAACGGTCGGGCCGGGCTCGTTGCGGGGCAACAGGACGCCGCGAACTCCCGTCTGGGAGGCGCGCGGGCGGACGGTGGCCGTGAGGTGCCTGAACACAGTGTCAGGAGGGGAAGCGATTCACTTCAGTCACCAACACCTCGAAACCTCTGCAGCCTTATCCCTCCTTGACACTGCCTCACCATCACACTGCAAACACTATCGCTTGGTGCCTCCCCCTGCCTTGCTCAGCATGGCAGCCTCAGCACTTTGAAATGGTGTAATAATAATAATAATAATAATAATAATCCTTCCATTTAATATAGCGCCTTATCACGGGCTTTGAGACGTCTCAGGAAAAAGCGCTTCACAGGAAGTTTTTTTTTTACCGTCGAGGGACTTGACTGTCAAGACGTTAACCGACTTGACGGGCGCTGTGTAATTGTTGTCGTCATCTCGAACCACTTTGCACAACTGGGCATCCAAGCCTGGGGCGGGGGAGGGGGGGGGCGGGGGAGGGGGAGGGGCGGGGGAGGGGGGGGGGCGGACGGGGAGGAAGGACTGAAAGTGCAGGCAAAAAGATACGGCTTTCGGTGGCGTTTAAAAGTGGGGAAGTGAGGGACAGAATGGAGTTCCAGATTACTGGGGACGAGCGGTTGATAAACCAATAGTATTAGGCCTGAGTGCTGTGTACAGTAATTTACAGCATTACATAAGTACAAATAACTAACTAACCGCAAGTGACTAGTTGGTAAATATGAGGAATTCTAATTTGTGAAACATAACCTTTTATTTTCTCTATTTTTTTGTGCAGTTTCTATTTTGTACTTTATTTGAAAAGACTGCGTTGATAAGGCATTGAATATGATCACGTTACTGCTATTCATATTGCGTACAATACAATATTAATTTACATTTATATAGTGCCTTTCACATCCCAAAGCACTTAACAATATTGGCTGGCACCCAAGCTGGGGGTGGGAGACGACACTGGTGGGAAGGGAAAATTTGACTGAAGGTACGGTCAAAGAAGTACGTCTTTAACTGGACCTTGAAGAAGGGAGTGAATTGGAAAGACTCCAGGATGGAGTTCAAAGGTGTGGAGGCAGTGAAGCTGAAAACCCGCATGGCGATGGTGGGGCAAATAGGGCGAAGGACATGAAGGCGACCAGTACTCACTGAGTGAAGGGAGCATATGGGTTGGTAGGGTTGGGGAATTCGCAGAGGTAGGATGGGGTGAAACAATGGAGGAACAACAAAGATCTTGAAATCTTAATATACGAGTATTTATCTGCTTTGTATTTATATATTTATGTATCTAGAGCAATACTTTGCTGTGGGCTGTGTTCCTGAAAGATGAGGGGCTTACAAACCAGCACAAAACAGTTATTTCAGATTTGAAAAACCAACGGTGACATTAATATGGCATACAACATTGAAAACTGAAGTTTGGAGATAATAAATTAGTATGTGATCAAACCTTTAATATTTAATATTAAATATTTAATATTTAATATCCCATTTAATATAAATGTTTTACTGAGCCACTCATAGCTGCATTACATTGAGTGGATACTGTTAAATCCAATCTGAGCTTGAGCCACTTTTATTCTAATTACAACTGAGTGGACATTAGTTTACGTGCTTCTATGATTTTGAAATTAGGAGGTGAAATTTATGGGATGTAACTTTCACGGGGAAATGTCACAAATGTTTTCCTGTTTTGTAGTTATCACCAGCAAACACTTACCTGTCAGTCATTGTATGACACAAATAGTAACTATTGACAGTAACTAAAATCGAATAATAGTGACTCAGGAGAACTGCTCTCAGACAAGACCAGCTTCCAGAGTGATAGATCAGGTTAATGCAACGTTCACAGTGGATGACGAAGATCTCATGGAACTATTCAAAAAGAGAAGAGAGTTTCTCCCAGTGTCCTGACCAACAATCTCCCGAATAAAATTGAAAACTCACTTCATGGCTTTGTGGGACACTGCTGTACACACATTGTGCAGAGCTACCAGGTTCACACACAACAAATACACAGTCACTTCACTTTATTGTATGTCTTATGAAGCATTTTAATGCGTCTTCCTGATATGAAAGGCACTGTACCAAATGCAAGGGTGATTATTATTTATTATTATTGAGTTTTCATCTGCAGTATCATGCTTTCAAATTTCACAAGTCCACAAACTGAAAGTAATAATAATCCTTGCATTTGATATAGCGCCTTATCACATCTTCGAGACGTCTCAAAGCACCTCACAGAATATACTGTAAAGTGAATTGACTGTATATTTTGTGGGTGAAATGAGGCAGCCAATTGCCCACAAACAGTCATGGATTGAATGACCAATTTATTATTAATTTTTTTTGAAGGAATTATTACCCCCGGAAAAGCAATCTGCCAATCGACTGTCTATTGGATTCCTACTTACTGCTAAGTGAACAGTGATGTGTGGAATAAGGAAACTTGCCCAAGGTTTCATCCAGCCAGGAATCGAACCCAGGTCTCTCGCTTGCAAGGCGAGTGCTCTAACCACTGAGCTACAGCACTCTAAAAGTGACAGCAAAATATAAAATCTCTTTGGTCTATAAATCATTTATGAAAAATAATCAAGACAGTGGAACTGGTATTCTGGAAGATGTAATAACAGTCAGAAGGGCCTTCTTTATGATGTGGTACAAATAAACTACAACTTCAAACTGCTACTTTGAAACTACTTTGAAACTCAACTGCTACCAACGCCTTGGGATGTCTTCCCGATGTGAAAGGCACTACCCAAATGTAATTTTGTTGTTGTTGTTGTTGTACTTTGAAGTCACCAGAGGGTGCTATGCACAAGCTGTTAGTTTCTGCAATGGTACTGCAAAACTCGTATCACATTTGACATATGCAAAGTTAGGTATGAGATGTATTTTATATGAGTGACACATAACAAATACAGTAAACAAGTACTAGGTCCTTGTCACTAACTTGCTTTAGTTGTAACTATTGCCTGATGCCACGATGACAGGTCAAGATCTCGTTTTCCAAGCTTGTTTCAACAGAGTACACTCAATTGTACTATGCATGTGGTACTTCACCACTACAATCGGTAAGTGCACATGCGGTGACAGGTCAAGACTTATTTTCCCGCTCTTGTTTCAAACGGTACACTGGCATGCGTACTTCAATGCAGCCGCTAAGTGTGATGACGATGTTACGAGTTAGGAGATCAATTGCATTGGATTTAGGATTATTTGGGACCAAGACACCATTATGATTTAGCCATTTATCTGACATAAAATCCAACTAGTGCAAAGAAATCTAAATGTTTTTTGGTAGGAAATTGAATAGGACTTAGGCGATTATATGATTTATAAAGATACTTGTGTGAGCTTTACCGTACACAGTCAACGACAACAACAACTTGAATTTATATAGCACCCCTCACACAGGGTAGCGTCCAGACTGCTTGACAGTGGAGGGATAGAACAAGGGTGTTTCAGAACGTCAGGGCGTAGTGGCTGAAAGCGCGGCCACCAATGATGAAACCGAGGGCACGAGGGACATGCAGAAGGCCGGAGCTAGTCAATCAGAGGCTGCGGGATGTGGGTTGGGGAGTTAGCAGGTTAGAGAGGTAGGGAGGTGCCAAGACATGAAAGGATTTGAAAACTAGTGTGAGGATCTTGAAATTCATCCATTTGGCAATAGGGAGCCAGCGAAGCCTGGCTAGAACTGCTGTGATGGAGTTATGGAATTTAGTGGGGGTGAGTATGTGGACAGCGGATTATTGGATCAGCTGGATCTTGTGCGTAGTGGAGCTGGGGACACCAGCAAACAGTATTTGAAAAGTCGAGTCAGTAGGTGATGAACGCATGGATGAGTATTTTGGTTGTGTCTGGGGTAAGGTATGATCAGAGGCAGGCAATGTGGTGGAGGTGGAGGAAGGCAGTCCTGGTCAGGGACTGGATGTGGGGAAGGAAGGTGTGGGTCGAACCTGACACCTAGGTCAGTGACTCTGAGGGACAGGCCGGGGAGGTTGAGGAGGTCAGAGTCGCAGGACAGAAGGCGTTGATGGTAGCAAAGGAGTATGGCTTCTGTCTTGTCAACATTTAGTTGCAAAAAGTTTGCACTCATCCAGGACCTGATATCTGCCGGACAAGCTGACAGAGCATCGGCAGACCTGGAGTCATAGCTGGAGGAGGAGAAGTAGATTTGTGTGTCATCTACATAAATGTGGAAGTTTACCCCATGTCT